GAGGGAGTGGGGAGAAAGGGAGCAAATATAAAAAGATAATAAAGAGAGAGAGAGAGAGAGAGAGAGGAAGAGAGAGAAACAGAAATAGAAATGGATAAAACAACAAACAAAAGAAAAAAGAAAAAAAAAGAACAACACAATACAAAATAAAAACTTAGATTATGGACGCTAAAAATGACTTTTTGGTAACCTCTCTTCAAATTGTTTTTAATCATTCATGCGTGAAATATGCATCATATGAATTGCTTCAACTGAAAGAGGAGGATGTAAGCTTTACAAATATGTGTCATTTATTAATTATAATTGTGATTAAGTTATGATGAAACATCGATACTTCTCGGTTTCGTTTTTCTGGGACACACTGTATATGTGAATGTACAATGAGTCAGGGTGGATAGCCACCACAGGGTCAATAGAGACCAGGTGGAAAGCGACTAGAGGGTCAATTGAGACCAGGTGGATAGCGACTAGAAGGTCAATTGAGACCAACAAGAAAAACAATGGAAAAGTGTTTTGACACTTCCCTTCGGAATAGTACAAACTCTTATTTTCATAATTTAGAAAAAAAAGAAGAAAAGTATACATACTGAGAAAATATGACTGGCAACATTCTCTTCAATTGTTATTGTTCCTATTAATATTTGATAATAATCAATCTTGGTATACTTGAATGTACATCTGTACTTGAATGTACATTGTAAAGAATCACTATCCACCCAATTGTCAAAAATTCCTAAAACTTTGTATTACCTTTAATGTTTCAAACAGCCAATAACATTTAGGAAAAAAGGAGGTACCTTTTCTTTGGTTTTGAAAAAATTGTTATACATGTTTGAAGTCTATAAAATAAAACACTGTATCACATTCATGTAGATACGGCTCTCAGGCATTAATAATACATTTGCTTACAAAAAGTCAAAGTCACGTTTAAATATGAGAAGCAAAGAAAGATGGATCAAATGAATAGTATTCAACTCCATGCGAGATACAAGTAGATTATGTTGGTGATTTTACAACAGAAAGTGTTGACGAAAATGATTTTATTGTAGAGCAAAGCTTGAATCTAAAAATGATGCTTAATCTGAAATAGTTTATGGTTGATCCACGTTTTCATGGTTCATAACAAACACCATACTTGTCTAACATATTTTGTTGATGAGACTCTTCTTTCACTCGAACTGTTTTAAGGTGTCTTTCATTTTGTAGAGAAAAGAAAAATTGGTCTGCAGTACATGTTCTCTCTCCCTTGAGCTCTTTTTACATGCTTTTTCCAGAGCTAAGTAAACCGTTCTCCTCTCACGCATCATTTTTCACTCACGACTAAAACCCGCCTCAAAATCTGCCTCAATGATTAAACTTTTTGGTCAAAACAGACGCTGCTACATATACCAGTGTACACTAAATTCACTCTTCAAATATGACCATTTTGTCCCCCTTCAAATTTATTGTTCTCCTTCTGTTGTATGTCACAATGGTTTTAGTCAATAATAAACAGTAGTTAGAACTTCCCGATACTTGATTTGCACTTCTCGGTTATTTCAATCTCACCCTTTCTCTTCTAAGACACCATGACTGAATTGCCATGAACATTAACTACATGAACCATGATGAATGGATGCTTTTGCAACAAGCCTTTCCAAATCTAAGTAAAATTCTGTGTGTACAAATCAGAAATAAATAGAGAAGCCAATATTGTTCAATGTATGCAGTGAATTTATTTTTCTTAATAACTGTTTAAATTATTTAGCAACTTGGTTGTGAATGTCTCAACTCAGCACACAAGATGTTAGGGGTTGTTATTTTAGCATTCAGAAGATGGTGAATTAAATGAATTGATCTACAGAAACTGCAAGCATTTTTCAAAACAATCAAGATCTTCGTCCAAGCCTCACCGCTACAGGGACATTCTTACTCTCGTTTCCGCGACCTTTGACCCCAAGAGACTGTTCAGCCTGGCTTCCGCCCACTGAAATTAGCTAGGATAGTATATGAGAAGAAATAATATTTGTTGAATGAAAGTGAAAATATAAGATTCGATTAGATATTACTTTCAAAATTGGGAATATATGATTAAGTATTAGGTAAAATACTACATGAGCTTAAACATCATTTGTTTATTTGTAGTGAAAAAAAGGAAGAAGAAAAATAAAAATAAAAATCTATCTCTTGGTAACTTTCACCTGGCTTTAAGACATGTATTTCAGTAAATGCATATCGCTTATCTGCCAAGTATATATGCAAAAGAAAACAAAATCATGATTAACTGAATCCACTTGAAATTGACAATCACCACATTATCACTCTATACAATTTAATGAATATTTAAGCTGTAATGTCACATATTAATAAAGGACTCATTCATTACAAAGAATTTGAAGGGTTTAAGTATGTTTATTCAATTTCATGATGCATTCTTCTCATTCTTTTTACACAGGACTGACAGGAGACACATTTTCAAAAATGATACAGTAGAACCTCATCATAAATACCATTTGGAATCAAAGAAATTTCTCTCTTTATTGAAACCTCGATATACAGTGTTTCAGGGTTAAAAATGAATTGAATGATAGGAAAGGAGGCGACTAGCAACTACAATACCTTTTTATAGCAAGAGAGTTTTTCTTTGAATATGGTTCTTATAATGAGGTTCCGCTGCAAAAGTGAGCAAAACCCCACAGGCTACTATAATACATGCAGTTTGCAGAGTGCAAACATACTCCCGTTCACTAATGCTCCATTTTCACGATTGCTTATACCCGCTGCACGAGTATTGAATTGTTCTGTGCAAATTTGTTGTACCCTCCAACTTCGACAGGGTAGATAAATAACGATGGGCGTTGACAACGTCACGTTGTACACCTCTCAACGATATTATAGGCAAACAAAAGGGGATGTTTGAAGTAACGAGTGAAAGTGACGGGAGAGACATAGTCAAATATCACATACAGAGGAATGTGTGTGTGTTACATTTAAAGCTTATCTGCCGTAGTTTACATGAGGGATTAGACCGCTCTGCAAGGTCACTGGACAGGTGGTTATCTCATCAACTCAGCTCTCAGTTAACATAAGAAAAAGAGGATCATGGGGGACCAATGGTCACCGATTAGGCATTGTTGTTATATAGAGGGCGCAAGTAGCTACCAGTAGTGCAGTGGGCCTTTAAGACACTATAAATTAAATTTTGAAAGAAAGACAAAAAAATGGATCAAAACCTGATCAATAAGATCATAAGTATTGACTGGGACTCTTTTTATTTTGACTCAACCCCCCCCCCCCCCCCAAAAAAAAGGTGTTATTTATATGCATTGAATTACTAAAAAAACCTCTGCAACTTTTTGTCACTAAAAATGTATACATTTATTAATATCAATTATGTATTTAAGGCTTGAAATAGAAAAAAAGGATATCAAAAGGGGAATAGAAAGTTTGGACCACTTTTCTTAAAGAGTACAACAAAATGGCTCAGTGAATACGGGCAAGACCTTTGTTTAATTAAAGCCTCGTTCAGATATGCAGTGTAAGACCGGTGCCGTTTTCTACATTTTCACCCAAGTGTAAATATGCTTAACAGGCGTAAGACCTTTGCGCTTGCCATTCATTTATATGTCAATCCAATTCAATATTGAAGTTTATTTCCACATTTGCTGGCCTAGGAATTGAACCCTGAACACTTGGATTGAGTGAATGAACCACTAAACCGTGACACTTCCATTATTTCATTTTTATTTTGCGGCAGTTTACTTTGTCATGTCTGAACTAGCACTAAGAAGCAATCAAACACCACCAATGGAAACGCGCCTTATACATGCATTATCAGACAAGGGGATAGTAAGCGGGCAATGCATAGGTGAATGTGTAAGGTAAAGTACCCTGTGTTGATAACAGCAAAAAATAAGCACCTTGCGAAAATAATTGTGTCCATCATATCTTTGCATCAAAATATGCACTTATTGATTATGTAACTGTCTTATAATTACCTTATGAATATCATAAATGAATGAACATGCATGATAGCAGTGCTAAGCCTTGGCCACAGTCAGAACGAAATGCAACTTACTTCACAACTGTTTAATATTTAGATTAATAAAACCATGGATACAAAGAGCTGTGCTCCTCTTTGCATCTGGTCTAGGATAGACTTCACGGAAAGACACACAACATATTGTGACCAAGGCATTAGACAGGGCTCTAGACTAGCCTTTTTAGAGTACCTTATGTAAACATTTTGAAATTGGGGGCTCCAGACCTAGATTTTGAGCACCCATTTGTCCCACGCATGTGTTATTGTCGAGACCTGGATTAGAAAACTGCTTTAGCAAGTAAAACCACTGTTCTCTGATAAAGGGCAGACTCTGGCCAGTTCACAATCATTTGTTACCATTCTGGGGGCTGTTTCTCGAAACTGTCATAATACTTCTAGGGTTCAAAACAGTAGCTTGAAAAAAAAAATTGGAATTGTTCCTCCAAAATAGGAATGGTTGGCAGCTATGCACCTGGCCACAATGAGTGGCCTTTCTATACATGTTCAACTGACATAGAAATTGGCATTACATGCCTAAGAAACATTACAAACACAACTCTAATAATCATTCTTCATCTCTCTCTTTGAAGAATTAAAAAAAAAGGGAAAAAAAAATCTTGCCGTGGCTGCTGAACTTGACATATTCAAAATGTGTAATGTTGCTTTTTGAACGGTTGTTTTTAAACAAAAGCTACAAATCAAAGGTAAGTTGAACTTGTGATTTTTTTAAAACTCTAACCAACTTTCAACAAAGCTATTAACAGGGAGATCTAATCAGGGTGAATAAAGTCATTCATAACAACATGATGAAAGGGTAAAGACATGCTGCTGCCTCATTAATAGAACATCTCGATGCAATATCATGTATGCATTACATTGAGGGGGCCATAACTTGTGAACTTCTTTATAAAAAGGTTTTCCTGTATGTCTGTGCATCTACAAACACCCCCCCCCCCCCCCCGAAAAAAGAAAAACAAAATTTTCATTTTGTCTACATCTCTCGTGTTTCATTATCCTTGGACTTTGAAATGAATCATCTGCTCAAGACCATAGTGAGCTACCAGTATCTTGTGCACTAAGGCCCGAATTCACAAAGGAGGTTTGTCGACAAACCTAGGTTTACGTGCATCCCATGACGCGCTTCAACGCATTTCAAACAAACCTTGGTCTGAAAAGTGTCATATGACGGACATAAATGTAGGTTTGTCGACAGACCTCCTTTGTGAATTCTGCCATAGAGTTCAAGTCCTTTTGGTTTTCAGCATATGCAACAATCATGTCCCAACAAAAGCTTGATTGTACTTGATTGTCTTTGTATAAGCTTACAAAATTTATGAGAACTCAGCCTAACTCAAATATAAAAGACCAACAAAAATAAAAAATGCTTCCCAGACTTCATTCAATGTATTTTCTACTGCATCTTTTTTTTTAACGTCCATGAGCATTTTGCTCCATAGACAAATAATAACAAGTCTATCACATTCTCATTCTAAGCATGCTGCCCCTTATAATTAATGACCGCTATCATGTATTCGCTCTACCTCCTTCTATTTCTTGGGCGTAGTTCCTCTGTGGCGTTTCCTCGCAGGAAGATGTAGTTCTTCTTCTGTGGGTTGTAGAACTCGTGTCCCTGTTGATAAAGGAAGATCAAAAGACTTTGGTCATACATCCCGGCGTAGTGGCAAAACAAAGCTCTCAAATTACACACACATTGTTAAAGGCCTGTCCTTATCAGCTCGAGTTTGCCAAGTAACCTGCTATTTCAACTATCCAATCGCAAATTAACGCTGTTGCAATTAGCGTGATAATTGGTCGAGAAAATATCCCTAGAAATCTTGGTCTTGTTTCCACCATATTCCACTATTTGGGAATAAGCGGGCTAATTTGAGCTTGAGCTTCGGGATAATATCCTGAGTCTGAAAATAGCGAGTTATTTGGCAAACTCAAGCTGATGAAAACAGGCCTATAAAGATTTCATACTACCCTTGTTTCTTACATTTCATGCCATACCTAAGTTTTAGCATCTTATTGACTGATTTATACAAATATTGCATGCTTCGACATTCAATATAACAAATGATATCATATTTCACCAAGGCCTCAGGCGGAGGTTGAAATATAATGGAACAAGGGGAATTTTCCATATGATAAACTGTTGAAATAATGGGTCTGGTAATCTGTACTATGGAATTACCAATCCAACATATATGTAGAGGAGGGGAAATTCTATTCAAAATAATATTCTTTCAATTCTGTAGTAAATAAAAAGGGATGCGTAATGAAAGTAAAATGTAGCGACAAACTCACCCTTGACCAATCATAGCTGACGGCGTATGCAAATATCTGACCCTTGGCATCAAAAGCGGCACATGTGATTGGCTGTTCCATCTGTTCCGACGTCTTCAGTTTTGTCCTAGCATCCTTGTCCCAGAAACTGAACTTCCCGTCTGAGCCACATGTAGCGAGTGTGCCGTACTCTGGGTGGAATGCTATTGAGTTAACCTGCACAGGTTCAACAAATAAGATAATAAGCAAATAATTACCGTTGGTGAAGGTGATGGGACAAACTATCACTTCCGAGGCGATCTGGATGTAGCTATCTTTCCGAAGCGAAGCTGAGGAAAGATAGCGTATACATTCTGATCGACGAGGAAGTGATAGTTTGCCATCGCCTGAAACCAAAAGGTGATTATTTGCTTTATATTCCACATCTAAACAATTTAACTACAAAAAGAAAAGGACGTGTATGAATTTACATAAAAGACACCTAGGCCCAAATTCACACCAAAAAAGTTAAAGTTTAACCCAACCCCTTGAGGGTACGGTGCGCGCATGTGTTTTCTTTAATTGTGCTCAATGGTAATGCGCGCTTAATTACGCCTGTTTTAGTGCGCTTTTGGATAATCTTCAGTGAAAGTGCGTTGCCCTGTGTAGATAGTACCTCTATTTTTAGTTAAAGTACGTTGCACTGTGTAGATAGTAGTACTATCTACACAGTGTAACAAACTTTTTGATTCTCCGATCAATATTGGGCGTACTATCTTTCATCACGTGATTTACTTTTGACCAATCGTAGAGCAAGATTCTTAGTATGTGGAATATAATAATATTTAGCTTTTATATAGCACTTAATACAATGTCACTACATTGTAAGTGCTTTACAAATATACTATTACCCCGGTCATTGGATTGAGTGCTTGCCCGCACACACTGTGTGCACAATCTTCACTCCCTGGGGAGCATTCCAGCCAGGCGTTACTTGAGGCTCAAAAACTTTTTGACCAACAATGACCGTCGCATCCTACCGGGTACCCATTTAACACCTGGGTGGAGTAGCAAGTGCAGGTTAATATCTTGCCAAAGGATATTAGTGCTGTGTCGGGATTCGAACCCTCGACCTTCGCATCTCCAGTCAAGGGCCTTAAACCACTCGACCATGACGCTCCCACAAAGGTGATAGTTTTGATAGGCCAGATATGACAGTGTCTTGCAATTTATCAGCAGGTTCAGATTTTGACAGATTGATTTTAGTGCCCTACTTTCAATGTTCGAAACTACAAATAAATGACAGCTGCCAAATAATTGTGGGAGAAAGTATATACTGTAGGAAAAAAATATGCATGGAAAAACAAAGTTCTCAGTATACATGTATTTTAGTTTTCCTGAAAACTGTGCATAAGTTATAGTCTTAAGTGCAGATTTTTCCAGCAAGTCTTTGTTATTTTGTTTCCATTTTACAGGTCTAAACAACGAAGTCAAGGCAGTTCCTTTTGACAAAAATATAGGATAAGCTTTAAACTTAACTAAATGAACCATATTTTAATATAACTGCAGTGAAACTGATCAAACATATTGAACAAGACAAGTTGAACTAAGTAGATTTATTGAGCTAAGTTATACTACATGAACAGATCTGCAGTAAACTGAGCTACATGTAAATGACCATATTGGATGACCTAGACTTACTGCATAGATGTCTTGGCTGTTGTATGAGGCTCCATTGGTCCTGTGGCATTTGAAGGTAAAGTTGTCTTTACTGGAATAAAACAAATGATTATTATTATTACGGATAGTCTATTGTTTTCGCTAAAAGTGGATAAAATATGAAGCAAAATCATGTGGCGAGTACTCACATATTAAGACATACGAGGGTGTGCCTCTCTAAATGGGTCACTTTGTCACAAAAATATCCCTAAACATGGGTCCATTTTTTCAAAATTGTGAAAAATGAGCTTTACTTCAAGAAAAATCCCCCCAAAGGACCCTTAAAAATGGGTAGGGGTTTCAAGGCTTGAGCTTCACACCCCTATCCGAACCAAATCTGAGTACCCTCCCCCCCCCCCCCATGAACACTCATACTTACGGGTTGGCTGCCTGCACAAACTGGATTGCACATCTTCCCTCAATGCTACCCAGGGCAAACCCTGTCGGTGCGTTCTTCTTTGTGTCTTTGAAGATGGCAAGGCATCTCAGCTACATGGAAAAAGACATTAGTTTGAGTTTGAGTTTGAAGTTTTATTATCCAAACAAAAAGTACATCAATAAAACAATCAAATGTAAATGTTTAACATTGAAAGGATAAATAAGACCAGAAAACAGCATTAAATGCTAATCGTGCCAAGTACCACTAACACACAAAGTATGACAACAATGAATGAGAATGTAATGAATAAATATGAATAACTAACGGTACAAGCCATTCTGCATCTAGGTTAAAATACATGTATGTTCTGCGATTAAATACAAATAACCTTCATTTCATGGATTATCATGACAGAGTCCTGCATTCTCAATCAATTTCCTCGGCTATTCTATTCTAAAGAAGTTTTTACTGATTGTACAAAGTTCCTACACTTACCTGATATTTGAGTGGTGAATCCATCCGTCTGAATTCTGAAGGCTGGTTCTCTAGTTGGTAGATGATGACGTTCTTGTCAGCCGTGCCCACTACGGCCATCGGGTACATCTAAGGGTATGGCAAGAACAGGGAGGTGTTTCACAAAACTTGTCATCAGTGACAAATGACAGTTTTTGTTACAAGCTAGTGAAATCCTTGCTTCTGATTGGTTATCAGCAGATTTGTCACTGATTTTTGTCATTTGGCATTGAAAAACGGCTTTGTGAAACAGCCCCAGATAGAGGGACAGAGAGACGGATAATAACAATATAAACAGAATTATAAGTTATATGGTACATATACAATGAATAAGATGGAGAGAGAGAACAAATGAATTAATGATATGGAATAAAATTTGGAATAAAATATGGAACAACATTTCAAACTGCATTGTTCTTGCGGTTCTACGAGTCTCTGGTACTTGCCCCCCCCCCCCTTGAGAAACTACTTTTTTTTTTATTTCAAAGCCTTGAACAATGCTTTTTAACATCTGCAAAAACCTCTTCTCTGTACTTTCAATTCTATTCTTTTCTTACATAGTCATCTTTATCCTTGGTGACAATTTATTCCAGGTATATGTATCCTCCTCCTAAAAGCATTTGAAACATTCTTAACCCATCACCTGCAGGAGCGTAATTGGCAAGATAATTCAATATTTAATAAGGTAAAAGGGCCGCATGAAGAAAAAGAAAAAAAAAAACCAAACAAACAACCCCCTCCCCCCCAAAAAAAAATAACTAGGCATTGTAATACTGTGTACATGATCAGGAAAGACCTTCCAAAACTCTGATATTTAGGAGGCGCGGTAGCTCAGTTGGTAGAGCAGTGGTCTCGTAATCCGATGACCCGGATTCAAAACCAAGTTGATGCGTTAGTGCCCTTTGGTGAGGCATTAATCCCTCATTACCAGGTCCCTCTGAGAGGACCTAAAGCCGTCAGTCCTCTGGTTGCTTACTATTATGCTTTCTTAGCAGTCAGGTAAAATAAATAATAACCACCCCTATATTGACTCTCTGACTCACCACATCAGCACAATAGCACCTCTCTGGAAGCTGGATGCTTAGGATGGGGTTCGGTTGTCGGGTATCCCAGAACTGAAACATTAAACATCATTAGTAAACTGTAATGGACGTTTACAATCTCGTCTTGTAAATGTATAAAGTGCTAGAATAGTGTTGATTATACTTTTTTTAAAATAAAAAATTATAACTTATTAATTTGATCTTCGTTTGTATTCTTGTAAGCTTCATGTAATAATTTTTTTTTTTTTAATTGTATTAAACTGAATGCAATTCAGTTCTCGGGCTGCTGTTTTCAGTAATTTTAATAAATCATTTAATGAAAATAAAGAAGTTGTGAAGGAATTAAAAATACAAAACTTGATCATGACACATCAAACACATCTGAAAAGTCTCTGAGCGTAAATGGTATGTCCCCTGATCAATTTCAACAGGCATTTCGTAATGTGTGTGAAGGCATGTTGGTGTGTGCAAGGTGTATGAATGTCCTCTTATTCATAAATATTAACAAAATATGCTCAGCCAGAAAATGAAGGAATTTGTAATGTTATAGGTTGGACAAAGCTTTAAAGCCTATCTGCACTAGTTTGGCCAGGAAGGATTAGACCTCCCTGCAAGGTGACTGGCAAGTGGTTATCTCATCAAATCAGTTCTCAATTAACATAACAAAAAGGGGACCATGGGAGATATTGTTTGCTATATAGAGAGCGCAAGTAGCTACAAGTAGTGCAGTCCTGCATTAAGTTAGACCATTTTCTCAGAGGTTTCTATAAACTCCTAGCTATTCTTCTCATTGTCTCTCTCTCACCTTGATGGTTTTATCCCAGCTGCCTGTCATGACACAGGAGTAGTTTGGTGCTTTGACCCAGCGTATGGACTTGATGGGTCCGTCATGCTACAAACAAAAAACAGAACATTAGTATTAACAACAGCAACAACAACTGACATAAAATAGAGTTCATGATAAAGATATCAGTACTGATATTAGGCTGAAAAAAAAAGATGTTGTATTGAGAAATATCAGCCCAAAGATGGAGTTTAAAAAAAAAAGAAGAAAAGATTTCCGACCAACCGACCATGTTTTGGCACCTAAAGGGCAACACAAGTACACAACATCTTTTTTGTTTAGGCCTTACATGTATTAACAGGCACTTCGCTGCCCTGAAATTTCAACAAAGCTTCAAAATGAAATTCAAACTGCTAGTAACATCTTCAAGTTTTTGACAAGATGTATGAATATTTGTATACAGTAGTAAGTTTTAAATTTACTCGAAGAAATTGGTACATAAACCTGTTTCATCAAAATATCAATATTTCATAAATTGTAGGTTTGATGTGTTATCCTCGAGGTAGACGGTACAGAATCTCTTGACTACATTACACTCTACATGTTCATATTTCTAGGTACTTAAATTAACAATGATTTCTTAAGCCCACCAAACAATACATAATCCTCCAGCAATCTGATTTGCAAAGAAATGGCAATTGTATTAGATAGGAAATCTAATTTAACATCATCTTTCTGATTTAGCTTTTAAATAATGATAAGAATATTAACAAACAGTGAACTCTTCTAGTCAAGATAAAGGCCGTATCGCCTTCAAATCGTAGACAATAGCACTTCTGTCTGATGTCACTGCAATTGTGAGCTGATTTAGCATTTCTTCTTCTTCTAAGGAAGCATAAAATTCTTCGAAATTTAGGTTTTCTTAATCATATGACTACCGGTATTCACATCCTTGGTGATGAAGATTTTATATGTTTCAGGGGTGATAGTGACCACTAAAAAAGGATCAGGGAAGAAAAAATGGCATCTAACAATATCCCCCCCCCCCCTTTTGAGTAAGAAAATTGGGAAAAAATAGGGACAAATAGGGAAAATGGGGGTAAAGTCGGGAAGAAAAAAAAATCAGAAAAAAATCAGAAAAAAAATCAGGAAATTATCAGGCTTGATGTTTGAATGTTTGTGTAAAATGCTATGGCAAATTCTTCCCAAATCGGATCGTAGTCTTATCGTATAGTGAGCGGTTGGTTTAACATTACAAAAGTTTGATCACTGAACAGTTGCCCGATGCCTACGGCCTACCATATTCATTTATTTACAATTCTAAGTTACATGGACAATGGTTCTTGTTATTTGTGTTTTCTTTACCTGTGCAATTTGAATGGCCTGATTACTGTTGAGATCCCACATCTTGGCTGTGTTGTCACAAGAAGCTGTGAATACTTTCGTGCCATCCTGAGGGGAAAAAAGGAAGAAATATTTAAAATTTGAGTGAAAGAACAACATTGAATCATAGTAAAAACATGATATTGAAAAATGAATAAGTTTAAATTTCAGTGGCAACCTAGATGAGTTCATATCATTTCAATCAGCTTAACTAAAATGCACAGAGCAGGGCTAACATGGACATCTGAAATTGGCAGTGCTCATATTTTTCATCATAATGTGCTCTATTAACAAGAAGGATTTAACAAATCTTTGTCATTCTGCAGCCGTGATCGAAGAGGGTTGGTGAGGGTACAGTCCACGGACCTTCCTGATAACCTGCCCCTTTCCAGGACTTAACCTATCCTTATGGGGGAGAGAGGAGCAGGTCATTTTCCTTGTACACACACAAAAATCCCTTTTAAAATAGCCTACTCCAGTGCCCCATTTCGCAAAACTTTTCATCAGTGACAAATGGCAGTGTTTGTTATAAGCTAGTGAAATCCTTGCTTCTGATTGGTTATCAGCAGATTTGTCACTGATTTTTGTCATTTGTCATTGAAAAAAGGTTTTGAGACATGGGTCCCAGATGAGGAGGTGCAAAGGTTCAATGATAAAGCCAGTCTGAAGCCAGGACAACAAACTAGAGCCCTTTGCAAAGGCATTTTTCTTTATTGACCAAGTCCCTCGGATACACCTTACTGCTATATTTAAGTCCACTGCTTGCTTACCTACACACACACTTTCTTCTCAATAGCCAGATAAAAATAAACATCACCGTCCAAAAGGAGATGTCAGTTGGTCTAGTGGTAATGTCTATGATAACGGTCAGCCCTCTGCCTTCGCCTACAAACTGACTCAGCAAACCATAGTTCGAGACTGAGTCACATCTTTCAGATGGTGACATTAAAGCCCCACTGCACTACTTATAGCTACTTGCGCCCTCTCAATAGCAAAAAATGCCTAATCAGTGCCTGTTGGTACCCCATGATCCCCTTTTTCTTATGTTAATTGAGAGCTGATTTGATGAGATAACCACCTGTCAGTGACCTTGCACGGAGGTCTACTCCCTCCTGGCCGAACTAGTACAGACAGGCTTGAAAGGTCTAATCATATCTGATCGATGCGTGTCTGTAAAAACCCAAATTAATCACACACACACGAACAAACACAAAATACTACTTACATCGTGCCAATCTACATCCATGACAGGACCAGTGTGAGTCTGTTGAGCCTTAGGGATAGTCTGACCACTGCTCTGGATCTCCCAGCACCGAACCTAGAAAAGGAAGACAGTAAAACTCATAAAAAAGAGCAGGAATAGGGTACATTAATCACCCAATACTTGACCACCATTCAAAGAAATATGAAAACAGAAGTTCCGTATCAGTGGAACCTCCTTATATGAAAGAAATTCTTCATGATCAATTAAATTACATAATTATATAAAAACTTTTTATATCGGGGCAAAGAAAGAAAAGGAAATACACAAATTGTACTGGGTGACTCCAATCTGTGTTACAAACAACATTTGAAAAGCTGCTGTCATTTTTTTCACACACAAAAAAGGGAGAGTCTTAAGAAATTGAATTGTGGTTATTTCAGTATCACTACTATCATTCAATGGCAATTAAAACAAAAAAAATCAGTTTACTGTCCCAGGAAAGGAAAATAATCATGATTTAATAAGTTAAACTAGATGGAACTTCGACTGCGCGCAGTCGAAAATGTGCCTCCGTCATAGAGCAATTTTACAAACCAAAACAGAAGAAATTTTTCGAATTCAAGTTCAATTGTAATCCATTAACAGGTTCTCAGAATATTGTGATTACGAGCTATTTTTGCATACATGAGCCAATGACCTTTGACCTTATGAACCAAGAATCTACTCAGTTCATTGGCTCTGCAAGAAACATACATGACCTAAGTTGGCAGGAATCCATCAATCGGTTCTTGAGATAACGCGATCACGAGCTGTTTTTGCATACATAATGTGCCCTGTGGCCTTTGACCTTTGATCTTGTGACCCCTACATCTAATCAGTTCATCGGCTCTGCAAGTAACATACATGACCTAAGTTTGGCAGCAATCTATCAATCGGTTCTTCAGATAACGCGATCACAAGCTCGTTTTGCATACATAATGAGCCCTGTGGCCTTTGACCTTTGACCTCGTGACCTCAAAATCTAATCAGTTTTTCGGCTTTGCAAGTAACATACATGACCAAAGTTTGGCAGCAATCCATCAATCGGTTCTTCAGATAACGCGATCACGAGCTCGTTTTGCATACATAATGAGCCCTGTGACCTTTGACCTTTGACCTCGTGACCCCAAAATCTAATCAGTTCATCGGCTCTACAAGATACATACATGACCAAAGTTTGGCAGGAATCCATCAATCGGTTCTTCAGATAACGCGATCACGAGCTCGTTTTGCATACATAATGAGCCCTGTGACCTTTGACCTTTGACCTCGTAACCCCAAAATCTAATCAGTTCATCGGCTCTACAAGATACATACATGACCAAAGTTTGGCAGGAATCCATCAACCAGTTCTTCAGATAACGCGATCACGAGAACGGGACGTACGTACGGACGTACGTACGTACGGACGTACGGACGTACGGACGGACGGACAACCCGAAAACATAATGCCTCCGGCTACTTCGTAACGGAGGCATAAAAAGAAACACATACACACACACACATCAGAAAACAAATAAAATGAAACAAACAAATCTTACTAATTTTTTCAGGGAATTTTTCAAATAATGTTCAGTTTTCCTTGGTTTATTGTGCTGTCCAATATTCTTTGAATCAATATGCACCACAGATGCAAATCAATGGTGTTATCACATCCATATGGAAATAAAATTTTCCTTACATTGTTATCCCATGACCCAGCGATGAGGAATGTGTTTGGGATCGAAGCTGGGCTGAATCGTAAGGAGCTGATGCTATCATCCGGTGGAGAGGTGACTTCGATGTCTTTCATCGGGTTGTGCGTTCCTGACGTGTTGGTCTGGCCGAACACACCGGACGAGCTGGCGCCGAAGGCTGTGGACGTCCCAAACATGGTGGAAGACTGCTGGAGTTGACTTCTAGTAAGGACTGAGAAGAGAAGGAAAACTACTGTATAAGGGTAATGATGATGAGGTGACGATGATGCTGTTACTATTACTACTCCTACCATTATACTACTACCATATTAATACTACTACTGTACTATTAAAGCCCATCTGTACTAGTTTACAGGAGGATTAGACCACCCTGAAAGGTCACTGACAGCTCACTGACAGCTCTCACTTAACATAAGGTTTTAAGGCTTTTATCGTTGCCTATCTTCAAAATATTTTTTCCCCTTTTTTCTTTGATTGTTTGGTTGCTCAACATTATTTTTGTCTGTTTATCTGCTACCATTACCATATATCAGTTTAGTAATTTTATGATCTTGACCCTACTTTCTCTTAGTTTATTTTGGTATTGTATTGATGGAATTGTATTATTTTTGTCATCTTTATTTCGTATTGTACTTGTCATACCTTTCGTTTGGTTCACTATTGTATATTTACTGTATTTATAACCGTATTGTATAATTTGTAAACATGAACAGTTTTGGTCCTTGGACCTTTGAATCATGTATATTTATATGTCTTTTTAAACCAAAAATAAATAAATAAATAAATAAGAAAAAGAGGATAATGGGGGACAAATGGTCACTGATTAGGCATTGTTTGCTAAATAGAGGGCGCAAGTAGCTATAAGTAGTAGAGTGGGCCTTTAAAGGAAATCTCACCCCGAAAAATAAGTGTAGGTATTCTGAAAAATGAGATGTATTTTTGCCCTTTGATGCACAAACAGTACAAGATTCCTTACAAAAAACGAACAAGAGAATATAAAAATGAAGATATTCTTGACATGATGTGATGCCTTTTAGCATGACATGGGCGCAGATTTTTTCTTGAAAATGTGACCCAACAGTTGAAGTTGTACATGTATCATGCACCATGCAAGCTATAGTTGGAAAGACTTTTTAAGTCAATAACAAAACTTTTAACTTTCAATGAGGAAAATCTTGAAATACATGATATAGTAGAATTATTGTGGCCGGAGCCATGACCATAGTTCGCACATGATCTAAATTGCTGGACGATTCCATATCTAAAAAACTGTAAGATTTCAAAAATCTGATACCACCAATGGAAAGAGGAACTTAAATTACACAGATTCACAATTTTCTTTGGAATCAGGTTTGAAATTATGAAAATAATGACAAAAGATCAGCGAATTTTGCAGTCTTTTGCACCTATTTAAAATTGTTGAAATTACCAAGAATGGTTTAGGAATCTTCACATCAAGAGAAGATGTACATGTACATGTACCTCAGCAAAATTGTAAATAAAAAGTGATCTGCCAAATGATAGTTTGGGCGACGGTGAAAATGACGTAATTAACTTATAATATTTGGAATGATGGAATGGTGGTGGTGGTTATTTTACCCGACTGCTAAGAAAACATAAATGCTTTCAAGTAAGCAACCAGACGGCCGGCGGCTTTAGGTCCTCTCCAATGGACCTGGTAATGAGGATTAATGCCTTACCAAAGGGCACTAGCACACTGCCTTCGTTTCGAACCCGGGTCACCAGATTACAAGACCACTGCTCTACCGACTGAGCTACATGTAGGATGGATTGCTTCTTTTGATAATAATTAAACTTTATAAATTTGTGAGAAAGTTATGGAAATCATGCCATGGTCCTCAGAAATATGGATAGATCTAAAGTTAGTTAACATTTTTGCAGACGTTTCATAGTTGGCGATGCGAAAAACAGATTTTTTAAATGATTTTCTTGAAGTATTTTACATTGACTGTACAGAGACTTTCACAACCCATAAAAGCACACATAGGAGCATCACTATCCTGGCTGTGTAGTAAAAGCTGTGCTTTTGATTCTCAACATTTCAAACACCACTGTACAAAACTCAACTGATTTCACTCAAAATTGGTACTTTAGTGACAATTGATGACACCTAAATAGCAGTAAAATACATTTTTTTCAACTTACTGATGTTAAAAAGAATAATTTAAAAATTAAAATTGTAAGTCTAGTGTCAAACTTTGCTTACAGCTGCATCGACATGATTGTGTACAGTCTATGCGATATTGTGTGGTGTGTATATTTGTGTATAGACTTCTAGGTCCCTGCCTCACAGCATGTATGCAGTGCTAGAGGTCAATACGCTTTAGCATTGACTCTCTATGCTTTGCTGGAGCGCATAAAAGTAGGTGGTGAACTGGGCTTTTTCTTGCGCGGACCCCCTTTTTTTCACATCGCCAGTGGCAGTGCAGTGCGTGGTTCAGCCCACAGAGCACCTCATTCTCGGACCAGCCCCTACTGATGGATGGAACGCATAGACCTAGACCTAGATTCTATATAGACCTCTAGGTCTAGAGTTCTAACTGTTAGATCTGTCGTTAGATCTTTTCTCAACAAATATCCAAGGCCCGGTCCGGTCATTCATAAATTTGTATGTAAACTTTGTTACTTGTAATAAACTACAACACATGTCTACATGTACGTCACAACATGTGGTTCAATCAAAATGTGGTCCCAAAATGTCAGCGAACTTGTTTTTGGACTCTTTGCGAGATGCTACGAAAGACGTCGTGTCGCACCCCATGCCCATAGGCGCATCCACATACACCACGGCTGGAGCTCGAGCAAGCCACTCTTTACCCGTCCCTGAACCGTAGGAGAGGCCCACGGCCGCGAGGGCCGAGCGCCATCCTCGAAAACTGAACTTCTCATGTCCAAATTACTTTGCCAATTTGCCCTAGCCCAGCAAATTTATTTAGCATGCCCAGAGTTTATTACAATCTTACCTCGATCAACCTCATTCAAATCTACAGCATGTGGTTCAAAAACTTACGTTTCCTTCAAATAAAGAACTGCCCAAATTTACAGGAAAGTCGTGTTAAAAATGAAAATGGTCTCTCATTCATTCATTTTTTCACGCACCCGCCTGACGTGAGAGGGCGCTGTTAAATTAGTTCAGATATTGCATCAGGAACGAGAACAAATAGGAACACACGTGTTACAGAAATCGGCTTAATATTTCATATTTGTCGTCAAATTGAAGCGCTGAACAATTCCCATTTGATTCCATAAGATGTAAGTATAGTTATTGGATTCATTAAATATTGTAATTGTTCTTTATGAATACCAATTTTGCTACTCAAACATGGGCGTATGGAAACCGAACCCAAGGCCAAATTGTAAATTACAGTCCCATCTGCTACTATTGGCGTGGTATTAACTATGAAAAAGAATGGTCGAGTGTTTGAGAGTGTTGATTTCATGTTTGTTGAATTAAAGTCTGTCAAGAATCGTATCATAAACCTAACTTAAGTTGCAGTCGTCTATCTTATGTGTGCAAACAATATTTTTACTAATTGGAAATGGAAAATGGCTTTTCTAATTCAGTAATTGTCGTTCAAGTAGGGTGTCTGATTGCGCACCCGATGTTGTGTGCTAAAATTCTTCCCATAGAGATTGCACGCATCCCTATGCAGTCTACGTGCATTGCGCGACCGTGCAAAAAAAAGACAATTTTTTTTTTTCAATTTGAGATTCAAACCTTTATCTGTTATGATCCTGAAGGTGATACTCAATAAATGAGGTGTCATATGAAAGAGCAGGTGAATTCCAATATTTCCAAACTCAAAGGGGGGTCATCTTGAAATTCTAAAAATATCTTGGTCAAAACAGCAATTTAAACATTGTGTCCTGGCTAACTTTGAAGTTTGCCACTTTTGAGATATGACGCCCCGATCGATAAGTAGTCCCAGTCCTAAGGAATAATTCTATGCACTTATATTTTCGCTAGCCCCCAGGGATCACGAAAGATTACAGTTTAAAAATAACCTTCCCTCTGTTTGGTGGATCAGCTGATAAGGGGGCGTGCGCTCTGCTCAGACCAAACCATGGTTACATCGCGTAACATCTCCACGTACGAACGAAACCCGAAATTCAATTACACATTTTAGTGAATGAAAGTATGGCTAGCCATTCGGGCAATAGAACCCGGAAGTGCATACACGTTATAGTCGATGCACGTTGTCTCCGCGATATTGCCATTGACTATAACGTGTATTCACTTCCTCGTTTTTTTGCGCAAACGGTTAGCCATACTAGTCAATGGCAGATATCGCGGAGACAGCGTGGCTCAAGCTGCAGGGTGCGCATGACATGCGTACGCTATCCATACGCTTGCATATCGCGCGATAGAGCTGTTTGGCTAAATTTAGCAAAACAACATCACTCTGCGTGGATGTCTTTTTCGTCGATTCTGACCAAAATGATATGAATATACCAGCGTATTGGAGGGGATGTATCTTTTGATAGAAATATCGGTGAGACTTCAAATTTCAAATGTATTATTCTGATTAAATTTTTTATTCAAATATCAAACAAAAATGGTGAAAAACGATCCCAAATTGAAAATTGAAAAATCGTTCAGACACCCTATTATTAGCTTCGCAATCGCATTGACATCGTTGAAGTTAGAGAATGTGCGTGCGTGTGATAGACTAGCAAAGATGAAGCATGGAAGAATCGGAATTTGCACTTGATAAACGCAAAATTCTATCAAGATATTAACTAACTCCAGGAAGCTCCAACACCGGCGCAGAAGGCGTCGGAGCTTCGGGTCCGTGCATCAAAAAACATTCTAACAGCAGGTTGGGTGACATTATCTCAAAATGTGCAAAGGGAGTAATTACAATTTTGACTTACTAGGTTGCTCGACTCCTCTGGGCATCTAGCCGGCAACTTGAAATTATAATTTGAAGACGTCTTCGATGGGAAAAAGGGGGTGATTCTTCCATGTTGTTTCGTCAATTCAACCGGCGAAGAGAAAGTACGCACCAAGTACGCATGCGCGGTAGTACATACTTTCTCTTAGCCGGTTGAATCGACGAAACAACATGGAAGAATCGTTGGGATAGGACGAAGAATCACCCCCTTTTTCCCATTGAAGACTTCTTCAAATTATAATTTCAAGTTGCCGGCTAGATGCCCAGAGGAGTCGAGCAACCTAATAAGTCAAAATTGTAATTACTCCCTTTGCATATTTTGAGATGATGTCACCCAACCCGCTGTTAGAATGTTTTTTGATGCACGAACCCGAAGATCTGCATCGGAGTTAGATATTAACGTGATATGCTGGATACTCCATGGGATGCAGGAATTAAGCGCGCTGTTGTCACAATAAATCTTGTCTTTAATTAAGTAACTTAATTACATTTTCTGAATTACGTACATGAACGTTGTCATATTCTGATTATTGTGTGTATTTTTTCACGATGTCATGAAATCTTTGCAATCTTTGCAATCTTTTGAAGATAATTGTGTTAAAAGTTGGAAATGACTGGTGAACTGTCCATTCATACTTTTTGTTTATTATGTTCTAGAGATTAAAAAAACTAAAATTAAAATAAACAAATCAGACCTGAAACAAAAACAGACAAAGAAACAAAATAGATTAGGCCTTTTATTCATATTTTCTTATTTATTACTGTGATTTTGTTTCCTCCAGATTAAGCTCTACAATTTCCTGCAGATCAGTCTTAGAGCAGCGTAAGAAGAAGAAGCAGTCATGCCGATTTCGTGTCGATTCTACGAGCAGCACTTCCCAGAGGTGGAAGATGTGGTGATGGTGAAGGTCCGTTCCATTGCGGAGATGGGGGCGTACGTCCACCTCCTAGAGTACAATAAGATTGAGGGTATGATCCTGCTCAGTGAGCTGTCGAGAAGGCGTATCAGATCCATCAACAAACTCATCAGAGTGGACAGGGATGAGTGTGTCGTTGTCATCAGGGTGGATAAAGATAAAGGTGAGTTTTCTCTTCTCATATAATGCTGTTTAGGTACTGCAGCTTAGCAAAATGAAGTAGCCTGGGGGCAGTTTCTGGAAACCGTTGTAAGTCTAACATGTTAGACATCCTATTGAAATGTGTGTTATAGAATTAACAAGCGTTTCTATGGGATGTCCACAAACTTAGACTCATGACGGTTTAAAAAAACAGCACTACAAGACGTGTCCGGAATGCAATTTGTATTATTGTTGAAATCATGATTTTATGACACACAGATAGAACTATATTGTTATTATATATAAGTGGTAGTATACCATGTCGATAAAGAGTTAATATTGGGTAAACTGCCATTCAGATAGATTATTTTTCACATTACCTTCTGTCCAAGAAGTTAATGCATGTCAAGGTTGAATTTTTGATAATCCAATATTTTTCAATCTGTTTTATGACAGGTTACATTGATTTATCCAAGAGGAGAGTGTCAGCTGAGGAGATCAAAAAGTGTGAGGAGAAATATGCAAAGGCCAAAGCAGTAAGTCTAGTGTTCATTATATTCACTTAGCATGTTGCTAAGAGCTAGCAAGGAGGCCACTTTGGAAATATTTAGAGATAAAAAGAAATTTAGTTATCCAATATCCAATATGTAAAACAGATTTATTTCTGATCTTGTGTACCTGTATAAATATGTATGAATAAATAAATAAATAAATAAATTTAGTTCTGGTATTGAAAAAGAAAATTTGAATAGAGTCTTGTTGGTTTGGTGTCTGTAAAGTGTTATACATGTATCAAAAGATCTATGTACCAAATATTTTGTAGTTTGTAAACATTTCGGAGAAGAACTAAAAAATCAAGACGATCTTTTAATGCTGTCTACTTGAACCTCCAGCCCTCCCTACATGCCCCTTTGACGCTTCTTTGTACAAATATCGTGATTGCTTTCTTCTTGTTATAAAAGACAATATAGAATTGCATTTTTTATGAACTTGTACCCCTCTCTACTGTTACCTGCATATCATTTTGATATGCATGTTGGGGTTGAGAAAATGAAAGTAATATGTCACGATGGCAACTTTAATTCTATTCAGCATATAAATTGAAACAAAATTGATGAATATGAACAAGTCTCATTGAAAGTAATGGCTTTTGAAGTGAGCCATTGTGAGCCCTTCCATATCCTTTACTTTCATGTATTCAGCTCTTTAAGGATTAGCCTGTTTTGATTCCTTGTAGGTAAATAGTATCCTTAGACACGTGGGGGAGATCCTAGGCTACAGCAGCAACTCACAACTGGAAGAACTCTATCAACAGACGGCGTGGCACTTCGACCAGAAATACAAATCTGTTGGCTACGGAGCATATGAAGCCTTCAAGACGTGTGTAAAGTAAGTTTAAAGGGAACGTTGTCTTCTGGTTAAGGTGAAAAAAAGTTGGTGAGCTTTCTGAATCATTTTACGTCAGTTTGGAAGAACATCAGAGTAGAAATGTCCCTTGAAAACAGTTGCTGTCAAATGCCATCATATATGACAAGAAATGGCTGGTCTTTTGTTCAAGCTGTGGCTTTGCACATGAATGTATGTCAGAAATATTCTTTAGAGAAACATTCATCTACATTTGACACTCTTGACCCAGGTGTAATTTCGATGTTCTCTTTAAGTGGAAGAGGACTGTGCACTAATAATGGTTGCCAGAGCTAACAGGGTTATTATTTTCAAAGCACTATGGAAACAACTTGAGACTTTGGGTCACAGTGTGTTATGCAATAAATCTCTGGAATATTATTACTCATTGACGAGGGGAAATAAGTGTAATTATTTCTTAAGTCATTGGCTTTGGTATTACTTGTTGCCTAATTTGTTGTTTTTAATTTTTTTTTAATCTAGTGAGCCAGAGCTGCTAGCTGAATGCAATCTAGATGAGGAGACGCACAAAGTATTGTTGGAGAATATTGAAAGGAAACTCACACCCCAAGCAGTCAAGATCAGAGCAGGTATGGCATAAGAACTATTAGATTATTTTAAATCTCTTTTTTTAGATATATTGTAATTATTATTATATACCTCACTTAAGAAATCCAGCCATCTGATTGGTCGAATTGCATTCATAAACTTCAACTGTTCCTGTAAAATTCTCGGTAACCATGCATAAAACATTTCAATATTTTTAATAACCATGGTTATTAAAAAAAGTTGGTCAGCCTCCATGGTTACCCCATAGGTTTACATGTTAAAAAATGGTTTGAGCGATGGAGGATGCCGTATGTGTGCGAAGGATTGGTCGGTAATTTCAATACAATTGAATCTCGATCGATCTTACCGACAATTTTATCTTGCATTGTTGACATGAAGACGAAAATAAACTTCCAAAAACAAAAAAACAACATCTGCCGATAGATCTTGATCTAAGTTCGTGCCAATATGCATTGCAAAAGTAAAAGAAGAGTCCGTATATGGAGCTTTTGCGAAGCATTCATCACACGCGAAGCCGGTTTCAATCCATTTTAATGTATATATTGGAGAAAACTGCCAAGCATGTTAACGGCGGGCCATAGCCGAGTGGTCTAAGCGTTGGTTTTCGGTACACCTCTTGTTGTACGCAAGGGTTCGAATCCCGTCTTCGACAAAATTGATAAATATTTTTCATTTTTTAGTCTATTTTTTTTCGGCATATAAAAGTATTAATGACTGCTTTAATATTCGAGAAATAGTTGTTTTCATACGCTCTCGGGAAGGTTACAATTGGGCTATTCCCCTCGGCAAGCCTCGGGGAATAGCACAATTCTAACCTTCCCTTGAGCGTAATAAAACAACTATTTCTCTCAAAGCAGTCATTAATACTATACTAATAGTAATAATAATAATAATAATAATGATTACATTTATAGAGCGCTTTATACAGGCGTTTCTAAGCGCACAGGTGGTACAGTCCAACTCAGTATAATTATTCAACATGTTCAATACCTTAAAAGCAGCAAAATAAAATATATACTAATACAATACAATACAATTAAGTTGAATGGTATTAGCTAATTGTGTGCGCCTCCAGTATACTATAACTGATTTAAAAAGATGGCTTTTGAGAAGGGTTTTGAATGATTCAATGGATGAAGTAATGATGAAGCAATGATGAAGTACTTGTATTGAAATACTTATTCAAGTACATATACCTTTGATTCTATTTCTTTTAATCTTAAGCACAGATCCTTCCCTGAATGTGTAGTAGTTCACAGTATTTCATTTGTAAATATTATTTACTGTCACTTGAACAAACTGGCTTTCCTTTCTTTGTGTTGCTTTTTAAAACCTTACTACAAGCTAAATACTTGCCTCTACTTTTACCTCGTTCATTGTAAAAGTCCTGAGGAATTTATACATGGGAAGATCAATTGATTGGACTTGCATCTGTAATATGTTCCAACGTTTTTAGTTTTGCTTTAACAAGGTTTTTATACAACAATTTTGTTTTCTTCCTTTGGTTATGTGGAGTTTGTTATTATGAAGTTCTGCTGTACAACTTACTGCATTTTTTACTGTATTATAGGGAGACTACATGTTTGTATGTGCTAAGGCTGTGCAGTGTGCATAACCGTGTAATGAGGTACTCGAGTACACTCCCAGGTTTACAGGTGATTACTTGAATACTCGGACGCCATGTGAACGTGCAAAAAAAAAAAAAAAAAAAATGGCGGCCGATATTCGAGTACGAGAAATCGTACTCGAGTAGTTGTCAACAGTGCGAGTACTAGAGTATTTGAGTACTCGTCGCAGCCTTAGTATGTGCTTTGCTTCTTATTACTTTCTGTTATAATGCTTTTCCCTTACAGACATTGAGGTTGCATGTTATGGCTATGATGGTATCGATGCAGTAAAGGATGCCCTCACGAAAGGCTTGGATATGTCATCAGAAGAGATGCCCATCAAGGTATGAATTACATTTGGATGTTTTTCGATTTTGCCTGTTTGGAGCCAGAAGTGTGTTCTATCCAGAGTCAATGCACTATTGGCTACAAGTACCCAACCTTTAAATGTTCTTTGTCCCACTTGCAGGCCAACAAAAAAATGAATAGGTTAAATTGCAACGGCATTTGAAGATAAAACTTCCTTCAAAACAAAAGGGCTTGAAAATGTCTTTTTGTGGGAAAATAACGACCTTAGGTTTTCGAATCGAATTTAGGGATTGCAGTCCTTTTATCAAATAGTCTGATTTTCAGACACATGTTACGAATGGTTGTACGTTTTGTGCCGCGCAAAGACTCAATCAGTTCAATTTTGGCCATCACAAGAAGTGGGATATTGATATAGACGAATGCTCATGTACACTTTACAGCTCATTTTATGTATGTTATTACCAAAGAAAAAAAGAAATCAGTCAGTCACTCAATAGTGTATGATAGTGTAGTCTAGAAAGTAAACAGATTTCCTTGCATAATTTGAATACTAGGACACTGCTAACGTTTAAATTTCAGAAATAGGACAAGCACTTTATAAATAGAAGTGTATTTTAATTTCTTTGTCTTTCCGTCCCTCTACAGATCAACCTGATTGCCCCGCCCCAGTACGTGGTGACCACCCAGACGTTAGAGAGAGTTGAAGGTGTGGAGAAGCTCAAGGAAGCCATCGAAGCAATCAAAGAGAGCATTTTAAAGAGCGCTGGAGTCTTCAAGGTCATGATGGCGGTAAGTTTCCTCAGATAGGATGTACAGAGTAGGGCTCCCAGCTGTTCGAAATCATGAAATACAGTTAAATCTGCTTTAGTGACCACCTGTCTACAAAGACCACCTGTCTACAGAGACCACAATTTTTGTTTCCCTTGAAAATGGTTTCTCATTGAAACATGTTCTAAAGGAACCTGTCTACAAAGACCACTTTTTGTGTTTCCCTTGGGCAGCTGCTATAGACAGGTTTGACTGTACCCGGAAAATAAGTTGCATTCTTTTCCAGTCAGGAAAAATACAGGGAATTTAAGAAAACTTCCTGAAATCAGATAAAAATCAGGGAATTTCACCAGCTCCCAAAGAAAGAAAAAGGTCTCTCAAATTTTCTTAAATCTTGAGTTCAAACTGTATTCACGGAATGATGACATTCCATACTGGAAGTGCTTGAAACAATGATCCTGGCATTTTGAAACTCTACCATAGAGAAAATCAGGGACTGTTCTTTTCACGATATGCTTGAAAAGGGTTAAATCAATAAAAGAAAGCATCATGAAATGCGGTGGAGTCTTCAAGATCATGGTGGCGGTAAGTAGGACTCCCAGCTGTATTGGATGTAGAGAGAATTGAGGGTTTATTCTGAGGGGCATACAAATTGGGCTCACTAAATTTTAGACTTTGTTATTTCTTTTCTTTTTTTTTCCTTAACCCTTTTCCATTTTTGTTTAAAGTGCTTGTCATGAATCAATATACATGTACCTGAATAGTTCAACTTCTTTGGCTGCGATTCCTTTTGATTTCAAATGTCCTTTTAAGCTTAGTGCATCATATTATGAATATGTTTTTAATGTTTTTAACATGTATATTTTTAAATTTGTAGTTTTATGTTTTACTTGTATCACTAATAGATACATTTTATTTATACATTTTAAGAAACCCACCTCAAACCCAATTTATGATTATATATGATGGATTGTTTTGCTCAAATATTCAGTAACAATGATTATAGTTTTAAAGAAACATGAAAAGATATATTTCAAATCATAGACATAGTATTTTTATCAAACTGTCTCATTTTCCTATTTCTATGAAATATACATATTAGCATTTCTAAAAATAGTCATCATGATTTGAAAAATCAAACTCTATCCTTCTTTCTTCCTCTTTCTTATTTGAACCACAGCCTAAGGTTGTCACCGACACAGAGGAACAAGAGCTTGCCAGACATCTGGAGAACCTAGAGAAAGCAAACGCAGAGGTTGATGGAGACGACGATGGGGAAGAAATTGGAAACGAGGAAGACTAATTAGCGATTAAATCTAATTAGCAAATTACAATTAAACCTCATTTATTTATAACGTGAGCTTTAATAGGTGAGAGCTATAAAGTCATTAAGTCCATTAAAAAATTAATCTGAATGAAGGGCCAGTTACTACTTGACGATGAGGGTCGTGATATCAACTTTAAAAATAAAAATTGTTCCCTAATTGCTTCCCTCTTGTTAATTGGGAAAATGAACTGAAAATCATTCTCTTCAAACCTCAATTATTTGTGCTAACGAGCGTCCCCCTATCGTCTCAGTGGGATCGCTTGGCGAGCACCGCGACAGACCTCTATGATATTATGTTTTAGACAATATTATTCCTCCTTCCATGTGACATCAGTTCAGACGAGGTCATGTGTGCAGTATACTTTATGCTTGTTTGATTTGATAGAGCCACAATTATTTCATTGTTAGACTGCCCAGTGCCCACTTTTATAATTATTGTTATTATTGAATTATATGTTTCATATGTATGCATATAGTTTAATGTTATTGTGATCCTTCATGTTTGATCAAGCCCTTCTCGCTCTTGAGTTGTGATATACATGTACCCGGTATCTGAATGTTTTAGATAATGCATAAATGTCAAGAGTACATTCCTCAGAACTGACTTAATGACCCTTCTGTATAGATATTAGAAAATAAAACAAAACAGAGAGTACATGTACTTCCTAGTGAATTATTCTGGTTGAGGATTTGTTTCATTAATACTGGCTCACTACTCTTTTGTTTCGATTAGGGTTATTTTTCAATTTTATTTACTCTTTGAGTGTATTTCAGCTAGCCCTGTCCAATTTCAATGGCTGTTCTAATGAGGAATGTTGTCCAAGTTTGATCCTATTTGTCTTCTAATTTTATTTTATTTTTTCTTAGAGATTTCCTGTAAAATTGCATTCCATAATCGAATGTATTTTGGGAAATTCTGTTATTTTGCATACTAGGTAAAAGTTAGACATCGAGGTATTTCAGTCCAAGTAGAATGAAACTATTTGAACTGATAAGTCTTTATAAAACAATACAAAACAAAAACCATTTAATGTGAAAAAGATTGTATGTTGGTAATGTCAATTTCCATCTGTATGTAATGTATGCAAATTCAATTCAAACATTTCAACCAGACTTTGATTTAGACTCTTCAGTTTCATATTAATTAGAAGTACATGTACACATGCCTGTGTAATTATGTAAAAATGTGAAAGTACAACAATGTATTGTAACAAGATTCAAAATAAAGGAGACACTTGTACAGTGTCAACTTATTTGTACAGACAATAGATTGGATGAGGTGTGGTTTCTTTCTTCTATGAATTGAAATGAGCACATTCTATTTTTATTCTGCTTGTGCAATATTCAGGTAATATTTATTTCCATCACCACCATCATTTCAATTATCATCATGATTATGATCATCATCAACATTACCATCAACATTGCCATCATTTTTCATCATCACAATAGGTTACCAATCATCATTTTATCCTCATGATCTTCACCATCTTAGCCATAATCCTCCTCTTCCTCATCACCACCATTAGGCCTAAAAGAAAAAAAATGTATTGCCCTTTGCGACCGACCCAAAAATCTTGAAATCTTCGGTTGGCTTTTAAATTATTTTTTAAACCATTTTTTAGAGAAAAAAAATTGAAACATTCAAAACTGAGAAATGCCCAGAGAGGGAGAAAACAAGGGAACAAAAGAAGATTTTTGACTGACAAGCCCATGTTTTGGCACCTAAAGGGCAATACAACATATTTTATTTGTAGGCCATACCATCACCATCATCATCATCTTCTTATCTACTGCACAACAACCATCACCCATTAACGCCATGTGCTGGTTCTCTCTCCCACTACAATTCTGCATCTTTCATGCATCATCATCAAAGAAAGTAGACAAATCTTACCTCAAAAATAACTTTAAAGTAATTTTTATTTTGAATGATATTATACTGGAGAGCTGCTCTTTCTTGTTTAGATAAACAATTTATGGGTGCAATAATCTTCACGTCCAGAGTTAGTATATTGGAGGAAATAATAAAATTACAAAAAGTTGCATAAGGGATAAAAAATAAAGGAATAAATAGATTAAAAAATACAACCGCACAAATCAAAAAAATAAAAGATAAGAACATAGAAAGAGACCTGTAAGAAATGGTATAAAAACTAACGTAATATAAAAAAATAGAGCCAGTCAAATTGAGCAGTGAGCAGGATTTCTACCTATCTCTGTGTAATATCATCTTTTAGCAATCTTTATAGGTGTAATTATGATAAACTTTTTTTTTAGAGTACCCCACCCCCCTCCCCCCTCATATTAACAAATAAGAACAGACCATGTATATCACACTAACACTATACATGTACAAAGTACGATGTAATGGAATATTATTGTAAAACAAACCATTTTTACAGGTTGTTATGTGTCTTTTTATCAAAAAATACTAATCGTACTGGTAATGTAGATTTATTGGATAAAAATGCTTTATAAAAAAGTTATACAATTCTGGAACGACTTAAAATACTGCAATCTGGATAAAAATGTTGCATAGATGTATGATGGTGCATAGCACAAATCAGAATGCACATTATGTGGAGTTTATCTCCTAAATGCAAAACTTGATTTTCAAATACATGTACATGTAGCAAGCTAACACACCCTGAAATGCTTTAACATGAACATGTATGTTAGTATCAGCTGACCAACATAAAAAAGGAAGTAGCTTTCTGATTGGATAATAATCTGGGGTCAGGGGTCAGCTTCGTGTTTGAGTAGCTTGGAGAAGAGGTCAATCAATGTGAAGAAAAAAGAAGAAGAGCTTCACATGTCACATGAACTCCAGTAATGAAGCATCAGCTTCAAATATGACATTACAGAGTTTACTCCCTAACACTTCAGTATACTGGCTGAGAGAATCAGGCAATTGTCTGCAAATGTGGCTCATACTTTCAAATTTGATGAAGTTCTAACAAAGCAGTAATTACCCTATTTTAACTGGGCTCATTCAGACCGGGTTTTTACTGGGGGGGGGGGGGGGGCACAATTTGACCCCCCCCCCCCCCCCCCTAAGATCTCGGCCGTTTCACCGCCGATCGCCGCGAAATTTGCATGCATGTCAAGTGAAGTGTATAGAATACTATGGTAATTTCAATTTTTTGATAAATCCACATTTGCATATTTATGGTAATTTATGCAAATAAGGTCATAAAATTCACATTGTTACCCATAAATCATATATTATTAATATTTAAGCATTCTTTGTCACTACATATATTTGTTAGACCATTTGGTATAATAATACAACACAAAAAATTGGAAGAGCCAGGTTCCTAATGTTATCTCTTGATTTGATAATTTCTTATGTTATTCTTTGTTTATTTAACTTATGTATTTTATTGTTTTTGTTGTTTTATTTCATTTCTAACTAAAATTCAACTATTTTGACCCCAAAACAAACACCTAAACTTTAAACAAGACTAAATAACCAATGTTTTATCTCTTTTTAAAGGCCCTCTGCACTACTTGTAGCTACTTGTGCCCTCTATATAACAAACAATGCCTAATCGGTGACCATTGGTCCCCCATGATCCTCTTTTTCATATGTTAACTGAGAGCTGAGTTGATGAGATAACCACCTGTCCAGTGACCTTGTAGGGCGGTCTAATCCCTCCTGTAAACTATGGCAGATAAGCTTTAAGAAAAATGATATTTCCATATGTTTTGTACACAAATCACAAAAAAATTGTTTTAAAAGATGCGTAAGACTCGAAAGAAAAAAGTCATGAAAGGAAAATGTTATATCTGCTGCGGTTTCGGAGTAGTCGCGAAATTACTACAGGGGGAGGGGGGGGGGGGGGGGGTCAAATTGACCCCCCCCCCCCCCCCCCCCCCCCCAGTTAACATAGGGTTAAAATAAGCCGGAAATGTATGGAAATGTATGGCAAGAAACAAATGATTTATGGCAGTTCACATTGCATCAGCAGATTCATAATAGAGTCTTGACAGCTGCTTTTACATGAGCATTAAACCATAAAAGTGCACAACACGACATGCACAACAGTTTGGACAAATCAATCAATACAGATTTGTCGACAGGAGATCAAGTTTCTTCCCATACGATTCCAGGAACTGATGGCAGAGAGGAAGAAAGTGTGATTTCTACAGAAAATGGCTTCTTCCATATAGTGGAAGAAATCTGTTTCTCTGCAGCCTTCATTCTAGAGCATGTTCTCTGTACTAGCTGTCAAAAAGCTCTAAATGAATGTGGAAAATGTCTTCATCACAAGTGACAACACCAGATACTATCCCAACAGCCAGCTTCTCTTTGCTCTTCAAGTATAAGCAAGAGAACAGGTATTACAGTGCAGCGATACAATTTACTGGACCAGTTATCTGAAAACACATCTGTGATTGGAATAAACTCCTATCAAGGCATGTGTCAGGTGATTTGTCAATGAAGAATGATATGGCGAGTGTCTGTGGACATAACACTAATAAAACTAATAATATTCTGGATTTATAGAGAGCCTAATATATCTACGATATCTCTATTAAAGCAATCATTAAAAACAGATTTAATTCCATTTTCTTATTTTTTTCTATGTCTGCCTGATTCTCTCATAATATCTCGGAATGTGTTATTAAAGATTAAAATATTGAGTTTGGGACATAAATGCTTTATAGTTCAAGCTATTGTAAATGACTTATCAAGTTAATGAGATCACTTATACAGCAGCTTTGTGATCCCCATCAGATGAATCGAACTGACTCTCCTGTAGACACTAGGAGCTTGTTAAAAACACACACAGCAGCTTCATGATCAGTCTACGAGCTCCCCATAGTATGCTGTGATGGTTTTGATTTTCTTGTTCAAGAAGTTCTGCTCGATCTCCATACGCCCTCCTGGGCCAGCGAGGGAGGCCAACTATAGAGGGAGACAAAGAGGCAGTAAGTCACAGAATCCACTATGGTATTGTTGCCTTAAAGGTAAAGATCAGTTCTGGTCATGCGATTGCATTGTGAAAAAAACGTTGTGGAATCGATCAGAAAAGGTTGATCATCTAGCATATAAGTATTGGTGTGTACTGCAAGGTTCTGGAATCATCAAAATGATAAGAAATTTAGCCCAGTCTTGGTAAAGTTACAAGCACTGTACACATAAAGATGTATATGGCACTACGCGACACATGCATGATATCTATCCGGTCCAAATAAATATAATAATTTACCAAATATATAAATTAGTAGGCGGTTTCCCGGCAAAATTTGTATCATCACGTATTATAGTCAAAACATATTCTTTCACATGATTGATAATAAGAGCTTCCATTTCATTTTTTGAGAGGGGGGCGTTTCCAAAACTGGTCTATACCTTTAAATAAAAAAAGAAAACAGAACTCTAGGCAGATGTAAGCCACATCATGATGTCGTTCTTGTAGAACTGAGAATTAATCTGTATCCCTGTCCTAACACTAGGTTCTCAGGTTGATATTAACACATGTATGTATCATAGCTAACACCAATAGTACACTGTACATCCATGACAGAGATAGCTATCATTCGTTCATTTATGAAATGTATGAATAGGTCAGGTAAGGTTCTTAAACATTGATGTAAATTCATGAAATATATCAAATAGATCATTTTAGGATACCTACTGTATGATATGGACTCGTATGGAGGTATTAAAGTTACATTGAACAACGACTAATCAATAAACTTTGAACTTGTGAAGTGACTGAAATAGATCACATTTTAAGATTCTTTTTCGCTTACCTGTTCTACATTAGCATTTCTTGGAGCAAAGAAACCAATGTTTTCTGAGATGCATCTAGCCTTCTCAAACATGGCTGCAGTAAGAAGGAGTTAAGGTCAACAATTCAAACAGTTGAAAATGGATAAATATTAATACTTTCAAAATAATTGTTATTCAAGATCACAGCTATATATCAACCACTGGAATTTCATGAAAAACTTATTTAACATAGGACAATTTGCTTAAACATTGTGCATGTATCTCAGCCAGCAGGTTGTTAGCTTTTAGCTTTCATTTTTGGGATAAAAGTGCTTGAATTTGGGCTTGTAAGAAAATTGTGAGCGATAACTACAATTTTATTATACTCCCAATGACATTTAGATGGTCACTTTGAAAACACAAATTCCTCGCCCAAACTTAAAAGCAGTTAGTACAAAGAGAAGACTTTCATGGGATATCCCAGTACACCGTCAGCCCAAGAGACTGACAATGACATGAACCCTCGGATATCTTTTCAAATGGCCAATTATCAATAGAGCATTAAGATTTCATGCTGTCAGTCTCAAGGGTCTGCCATCTCAACGGTTGTAGCCAAAGTTAGTCACTTTATTTTCAATTAAAGCCCCACTGTACTACTCATAGCTACTTGCGCCCTCTATATAGCAAACAATTCCTAATCGGTGCCTGTTGGTCCCCCATGATCCCCTCTTTCTTATGTTAATTGAGAGCTGATTTGATGAGATAACCACCTGTCCAGTGACCTTCCTGGGTGGTCTAATCCCTCATCAATCTCAGCAAATGAGCTCAAATCAGCTCTCACTTAACATAAGAAAAAGAGGATCATGGGGGACCAATGGTCACCGATTAGGCATTGTTTTCTTACTGGAGGGAGCAAGTACATGTACATGGTATAGCTACAAGTAGTACAGTGGGCCTTTAAAGTTTAGCCACTTTGTTTTCAATCAAAGGATATGTATCAATGTCCATCATGGAGAAGAGATCAAAGACTTCAGCATTGAGGTACTTTGGTCCGCCCCACGGAGGGCTCAAGAACACCACGTCTGCTTTCAAGTCGTCTGCTACCTTGAAGAAGTCACCGACGATGAACTCGATACGATCCTCCACCCCATAGACTGCGGCGTTGTGTCGGGCTAACTCGATCTTGGCGGGGTCGATGTCAACTGCTACCACTGGATTGTGAGAAATAGACGATCCTGGATTTATTAATTCTGTTGTGTAATGGCGTTTTGTTCCCCTCAAAGAGAAGAAAAATAACAACGATTCTCAATGTCTAAAACATCTTATAAATGCTTGTTTGCTGGGGAGTTGGCAATATTTAAGGAAAAAATCTATCACCAATGCAAATAAGAATTGTACAGTGACTGTAAGTGGGCACTGATCTATTGAAATACAACAATGTTGATGCTTTCAACTTGCATCACTTCTTTTGTTCACATAGTCAATCCATCACTCATCATTAATACAACACTTCTTTTGACAACAGTAACAGTAACCGATGGGGTGACCCCCTTCACATGAACACAATACACATGTAGGTAAACTAGATGGCATTCCCCCTCACCTCCCAGAAGTTGCTGTAAAAAAAAAGATTTTGGCCACAGAGATCCAATGTTGTTTATCTTAAACATTTCACAAGTAAAGCAAACTGGATAGTATTGCTCCCTGCCCCACAGAAAACGACACAAGATCAGATCAAATCTACATCTTCCTACTTGATGTACAGCTATAGGACCTCGTGGCAGATTAGCCTTGTGCAAGACAGTTATCAGACAAAGTCTACTACTGTATTTGCCAATGACTCAGATACTTACCTCTCTCACACGTAAAGGCAAACTGGATCGCATTACCCCCTGACCCACAGAAAGCATCAACAATCAAGTCACATCTACATCTCTCTGCTTGATGTTCAGCTATCCTCTCCGGGGTGACTGAATACCAGCCCTCTAAAGAGATTATAAAAACAAAAAAATGAGACCCAAAAAATGATGAGGATGAGGAAAATAAAAGAGAGTATATACGATACCAAACAACTCGATTCTGAATCTATGTTATGTTTGTGATCTGTCTTTTGTAGTTTTTGTATCCATTATTAGTATCAGTTTCAGTATAAACTGCTCAATTTATAGAAATACATGTCCCAATCTTAATTACTTTAGCTTTTAAATAAAATCATTATGAAATATTGAACCCATGAATTTACATTCTTTTACATTAATTCATTTGATAATGTATAATAATTTGATTGGGACAGATTGTAATTCATATATTAATGTAGTACAGTATCATATTCTACAGTTTCCTTGATTTTGTGTTCTACCATTGTTATTTATCAATATCTTGATTTGTATCTGAAAATTACTCTCACGTTTTGGTTACAATAAAGACATAATAATAATACAAGTAGAAGACACATTACTGATTAGTTTTGGCAAGCTAGTATGATAATATATGATACCAAGCTGTTTTTGGATTGTGTATACAGCTCTTACAAGGTATATCGACCAAATGTCAGCCAGTATAAGAAGGTGTATTTACTTGGCCAGATAGCAACAAAGGTGTTAGACTTAAAGGGTGGTACTCTCAAAAGCAGACTAATTTTAGTATGGAATGCCATATGTCCATATGAATATATTTTTGAATAATTTGTTATGTCCCTAAATTACTATGATAACATAATTATTTCATAGTTACATTGTTGCTTATTAATTATGTCATTACATTTTATTTTAATTTAGTGACAGATTAAATTATTCAAAAACACATTCATATGGACACTTCGCATTCCATACTTAGTCAGCGGATTAAATCATGGACTAAAGTTAGTCCGCTTTCGAGAGTAACAACCGATAAGAATGAAAATGTAGGTGAGAGAAAGGAAAAAAGAAAAGACGGGTGAGGTCAGGTGCTGGAAGGAGGGAGGGAGAGATGGAGAGAGAGAGAATTCAGACATACACCTACCTTCGTCTAACTTGATGCCTTCATCAAATCTCGAGAACAATCTGTATCGCTGAGCCCAGTACTTATTCAGATGCTTACTGCCTCCAGCTATGTCATGCTTGGAAGTATACTTCCGCTGTCTGCGCTGCTTCGCTTTTGGTTTCGACTCCCGATCAACATCTTTGACTTCTCCTTCCTCCCTCACAATCTCCTCCGAATTTACCCTATTTTCTTCTATCTTTATTTCTTCTAGTTCAGCTACGGTCTGTAAGGTTCCAGAAGTGCTGGACGTTGTGTTTTGTTCTGATGCTGCTTGTTTTGGCAAGTCTGTTGGCAAGGCATCTCCTTTTTCATCTATGCAACTATCCTTACTATTCACTTCATCGTCCATCCTCTGATCTGCTTGTTTGTTACTATGGCAACCATCATCACCGTGTTCTAAAGGCGCCTCCTCTACTGGAAATTCTTTGACATTTTCATCAAGTAATTTATTATTAGTCTTATCCTCTATTGGGGCCTCACTGTTTTCATCAAGATTACTATCTGTATCATCATCATCCTCATCGAAACCATGACAACTGACCCCGATGTCATTCAAGTCTTCCTCTCTCTCCAGGAAACCCCTCACCTTTCCAAGAACATTGCTCTTGCCAACTTTAAAGGACATCACAGGACTCTGCTTAATTTCTCCTCTTTCTTTAACAACTGTTGATCCTTCCTGGGAGGATGTCCCTGCATCTTCATCCCCTCCGTCTTCGGCCTCACGTTCGTCATTGCTGAATCTGATGTGGAGTGGCTTCTTCCTCAAGTTCAGGTCGGGGTCATGACTTTTCTTCAGCCGTTTGTTGAAGTAGTGGACCTTTGCCTTCTGGAATGGTTTCTGATCCAAGAACCTGGAAAAGCAACATAATATAGCAAAAAAAAAACAACCCCACTTAAGTTTAATACAAATGGAATAAGGGCACACATATATAATGGCATTATAACAAAAATTCTGACTGAAAATGCCATATTTCTGAGCTACAAGTATCATACATTGCTATTGAATTTGTTCAGCACATAAACTATCATGACTGAAATTGAATTGAAAAGTCAATAACGGTCATTTTCCATAATGAAAATTTTACAAGTTGTCATATGTATAAATAAATTATGTGGCAAGAAGCATTTGCATCTCTGGACCCCTCAAAAATTTCATGAACATTTCTGGTTTTACAGTGATCAATTTTCCAGTTTAAAGCCTGTCTGTACTAGTTTGGCCAGGGGGGATTAGACCTCCCTGCAAGGTCACTGACAGGTGGTTATGTTATCAAATAAGCTCTCAATTAACATAAGAAAAAGGAATCATGGGGACCAACAGGCACCGATTAGGCATTGTTTGCTATATAGAGGGCGCTAGTAGCTATAATTCAGTGGGCCTTTAACATCAAGTGCAAATGCTGTAGCTTCGGTGAGAGTTTTAATCTTTGTCAATACTGCAAATCTGTAACTGCAATGTGAGAAGGGATGCCTTACCTGTGAGATGCAGGGTCACAACTGAGACCTAATTTCTGAAAGACTTTGGTGTATGCTGACCCAAGCTCCTCAGCATCCAACTCATGACTGATGAAAAGAAAACAAGTACAGGGTATCCCATGAGAATCACAAACATCTATAGATCACATACACAAGGTGGATGCTGTTAAGGGTCTACACTGACAACTTTATGTACTAGAAATACATACATTAATTATCTGATATAGTTTGATTTGGGTAGCAAAAAGCACAACTTTTAAATTTTAAACGTACATGAAGATGAAGCATCTTACCTGTATATAGATAGAACATGAATCAGAATTTACAAACTAAATATCTCAAACAGGTTCAAAATCATTGCTAGTTAGGCATTGACATATTTACATTTGACAATTTCCCATTGTGTGATTTTTTAAAGGAATGAATTCCTACAATCCCCAATATACAGGATCGTCTATTTTCATAAAATATCAGTAAATTTCTTGGAACTCACAATTTTTTGCACCCTTACAATCATTGCTTTATATTTTCTTTAGATTAGAACGATGGCACGTTCACATTTTTCAAATAGTAGATAGTAATAAAGGCAATAGCTTCAAATATTGCAAATGAAATAAACTTTAACAACATCTAGGAACAACAAAACTTTCAAAGCAGAGACATTCAAAGCGGTCCTACCTCCTCTTTGTCTTGTATGGTGAGTCTTCTGGAGGCTCCTCCTCCTCCTCATCACCATGGTAACTGCCAGTAGATCGTAGATCTCTGTTTGCCATGATGGCTGTGGAAGTACCTTCAATATAAATGGATTGAACAATAAGAATTACATCTCTTAGTGACATGTTTTGTAATACAATCTAAGCTTTATTGTTCCTACCAATTGCTTGTAAACAAAAAGAATGCATCACAAATAAAAAAAAAACTAATATCGTCATTCTGTTCCTACATATACATGTAAGTACATGTACAAATACTTGTATAGAGTTTGCTTTGTAATAACAAATACAGATGTACGATCAAATACTGTTTACAGAAAGAAAAACAGACAAAAAATACACATGCAACAGGGGGGGGGGCAATGAAAATATTGTTATCAGCCTAATCCAGAAAAAAATAAGGAAAACCAAGTGTCAAGTCCCATTCAATTTACAAACATAATATATCGAATTGTGGACAAAAGTTTTTCAATTAAAAAAATAATTATATAATATTGACTGGCCTTGAGGGGTATATCAGAAATATTGACCAAGCTCAGATCATATTGCCCCGAGTCGAAAGACGAGGGCAATATGGTCTTAGAGCGGTCAATATTTCTGATATCCCCCCGAAAGTAAAGCCAGTCAATATTTGTATTGTTATCCAAATCAGACATCCACCATGACAATCTCAAGAACTGAACAAACTTTGTCAAACCAGCACTGTGCATCCAGTGCTTGACACAATTTCGATACACTGCAAACAGTGTGCATTTGGTGTGATTATTACGTCACAATAGAGTGCGCGCAAAGTGCGCAGCTTCTCGTACGCATAATAGATGCGCAATGAAAATTACAAAATATGGCGCAGTCAATACAAGATGCCCGGATGCGAGACCGTGGAAAATACCAAGGTATATTTTCACTCGTCTCTACACGCAATGTCAATACGCGCAGGGAGACCAAGGAAAATACAAAGAATATACCCCTCCGTTCCCACTGCTAGAAAAAACTAGGGCAATACGGTTTTGTAAATGACCAGCTCAGATGTCTGATACGGGTAATAATCAATTCTATCATCGCTTCTTTGAACAAAGTTTCCCCAAAATTATCATAATCCTTGAAGATTATTCAAAGTAACAGATAAATGGATGGTGGAATGTGGGTTACCATTGATGCTTCCGCTGGAATTAGTCCTGGTCTGCTTCGAGTTTTGCTTCCTTTTCTTCCCTCCACCTTTCATCTATGAAGAAGAAGAAAAGAAGATTTAGCAATTAGACGAGGTTCCAACATTTTCTGGGTTTGGTAACTTAAGAATGAAAATTGAGAACTGATACGATTTATCCTTTCTCCTATTCCTTTAGGTATTAAAAGTGTCTGATGTTGAATAGTTTGCTCAAGATGCTCGGAATATGGTCTGGATAATTACAGGAAACAGGACGGCTGATACTCTTAAAAAGCAATTGTTTTGTTCAACTGAGAACAGGAGGGTCAAATCTGACTGACATGAGCGCTATACAAGAACCCACAATTATTATTATTATTATAATATATAATCAGTATTGAGTAATTACCATTTGCTGGAGAGAAAGTGGCATTTTATATACTGCATTTTAAGATGATGTCAAAGAGACAAGGGAAATTAGATTATGAAAATTAAGATTTAATTTTATGAAAGCAATCCATTAGAGACTTTAAAAGTAGAGAAGGGTCCTTGTAAAAAAAAAACAACACCACAAAATTACCGGTACTCAGTTACCCCCTTCCTCTATTACCCCTGCAAAATCCTATTATAGGACTCTCTTGCCTACCTCTCTGCCTTGAGGTGCATCCTTGCCGAACCCTGAGGGAAGTCCCATTTGTTTCATCATGTCACTCTCCTCTTCATCTGGGAAGACCATCTTAATCTCTTCCTCTAGGTTGTGACCAGGCTCATCTTCATGCTGGTCTTTCAGTTCAGAGTCTCCTGATGTACTCCTATCAGGTATCTGGTCGTGCATGATTGTTGAAGTATCCTCCTTCTTTGGTTCAACCTCAACAGCCGTCTCTACATCATCAACCAGTTTACATTCTTCTGGTATCTGTTCTTCTAAGAGTGTTGAAGCATTCCCTTTTTGGTCACAGGAACTTACAACACATGCATCATCTTCACCGTTCACCACACCATTAGCTTCTATCAGATTTTCTTGAGGAATCTCTTCACCTGCTGCAATCGCTCCCTCCTCTCCTTGAAGCACATTCTGCCAAGAGTGGAACCAGTGGTGGTAGTACCAGTATGTGTCATCGGAATGATTGTCCCATTCTTCTATCAATTCTGGAGTCCATTTGGATTCAGGTGCAGTCAGAGCAGCATCCTGTGACTTATCAACCATTTTACCACCACTTAAATCTTTTTCCTCGAACACATCACCAGCATGATTTTCAATGTTTCCATTTTGAAGGGTTGGGCATGTTTGGTTCACTGAAGAGAGGGGGATATGGACTGCATTGCCAATATCTCCTTCAGCTGTACTTTCATGCTGCTTGCCAGGTTGGTCCCCAAAAGAACCAGTAATTACATCAGTTCCAGGTTCTAAAGATTTTGTACTAGGAACTGTCACATCATCAAAAGTACGCAATTGTTGCACAACATTTACTTCACTGTCAGCCTCACCAATATTAGTGAGCTGACCTCCCCCGCTGTTATGGTCAGTGCCCTCACAGCCATGACAAGGCTGTTCCATTTTCTCTGAGAGGTGAGCTGCTTCTGTGAGGATATCTTTGTCCTGGCAGGATTCAAGAAGCATATCAACACCAAGGTCAGCAACATGCTCCTGATTACATCTGACATTCATGTCTAGGCCACCATTGTCCTTTAGCTCAACATCTTCTTTTTTCCCTGGTGTTTTTATTAGCATCCCACTTGGATCCCTTCCACCCTCTGTATGCAAACACCCCTCCTGGGTATAACTGGAAGATTCATCTTCACCAAACTCTGGATGCAGTTCAAGCCAGCCTTGCAAGACAAGACCATGCCCAAACTTCTCCCAGTACTCCTCCCAAGAAGAAATACCCTCAGACCCATCACAATCTCCACCGACTCCAAGTTCCTTGTTGCATCCTTCCAAGCCATTTGGTATACCCTCATTTGCTTCCTTCTCAGAATGTCTACCTTGGCCGATATGTGAGTTGTACTTGGTTTCATTCTCGTCTGGATTTTGGACATTGGAGTAGGTGTCCTTCCTGTGATCTTGAGATCTCTGCCTGTTCCTGCTGTTCTTCGCCTTTCTCTTACTTTTTTTTCCTTTGTTTGACTTTGTTCTGACCTTGTACGTGCCCTCGTCCTGTCAAAATAAAAGAGAAATATAACCCAATAACTGTAAGAGTGCAAAAAGAGCGAAAAGTTATGACTTTCTTCTCTAAGCTAAGCAGTATCCTCTTCTATTTAATATTGAATATGGTCCCTGTAAAAAGCCACCAAGTAAAGTCTTGCCTTACAAAACCATGACTGCTTTTAAAGTGCCGTAGCAAAGCATCCTATACAGTAGAAGCTGGAATTCGTCCCTATTTTCACGAAGTGACGGTAATGAGGAAAATCGCATACAATTTGCGTGACGATTTTCCTCACTACCATCACTTCGTGAAAATAGGGAAGAATTTGGTTAGTTTTAGAAATTGACTATGGAGCGTTATTGCTCCAGCGAGTGTCATACAACCAATATTTACCTCCTTCTCACAGTCTCTTGGTGAACGGGCAAAGCTAAGAGGGAGTCCCATGTCCTTCATGACCTCTTCTTGACCTTCATACTCTCCGGTAAAGTTCACGAACGATGAGTGGTACGGCCTGATCTCCTTCACATCACACCCATTATCGGAGCCATTCGCCTTCTTGACGGTTCCCTCTGCGATGGCTGATTCGCTGGTCCCACATTGGTGTGATTTATCCTTTTTTCCTTCATCGATGAGGACATCGTTTTCCTGTTCCTGTCCAAAGGTGTCATCATCACGCTGCTCTTCAGGCTTTCCATACAGACCCCATCGGTACAGTTCACCGTCGCTGTAGCAATAGAAACAAAACATATCATGTAGTAGTAGTAGTATCCCACAGAACATTCTTATGGCTTGTCCAGATATATACCACGGTAAATCACAGCTGTTTTTCATATACAGTGTATAAATGAAAGGCAAGTGAGCGCAACAAAGGTTCACTGAACTCTGTGTTAAAGATACAGAGATATGAAGCATACAACAAAATAAAAAAAGGCAGTTTACCACTTCATATCTCATCAAGGCCTTAGAGAAGCAAAAGAAGGATGAGGGTGAATTGTTAAGAAAGCATGTTATGTACAGAGACAGAGCCATGCTAATGAGGCTTATAGTTACATTATAATCTAGATTTCTAGTATCCAACCTGAACTGGTGGATCGGTGTTATTACAAGATCAGATACAGTCCAATCATGAACATTGCGTATTGGAACCGGATGGCTCCTGCACAAAGCCATTGGGAATGAAAAAAGCAAGTGAGCAACAAGTTTACCCTTGCCTGTTCCACACCACTTTGCTGTGCCACTCAATTTCCTTGATGTAAGACACAAACCTGCAACACTTTACTTTATATGTTATAAGCTTGATTGGTACTACACATTCCCCACTCCATAGAAAACCTGAAAGTATTAAGGAAAATCTACTTTTCCACTGTGCTCACAACTTACTCTGCAAAAGCTCTGGAACAGCGGACTTTAATACTGACAAATGGCTTAGGATCATAGTGGCCTTCTCCTGCAGTTTTTTCTTCTGGCATCTCAGTCTCATCATTATCATGCTCAGTGATGACCTTATCTCTCTCCTCTGCAGACTGGTTGACAATCCCATCTCTCTCCTCTTCAGACTGGTGGACGATCCCATCTCTCTCCTCTGCAGACTGTTTCAGGACCTCATCTGTCTCCTCTTCAGACTGGTTCACGATCTCATCTCTCTCCTCTCCAGACTGGTTGACAACCTCATCTCTCTCCTCTCCAGACTGGTTCACGATCCCATCTCTCTCCTCTCCAGACTGTTTCACAACCTCATCTGTCTCCTCTGCAGACTGGTTGACGACCTCTTCTTCTTGTCCTTTCCCCACAACATCTACAAGAGGGAGTCCTGGTGGTTCTTCAGTCTGTGGTGAGATACACTGAATACACAAGATGAAGAAAATGGAAGTCAAACAAAGTATAGGTCTTGGGTTTTGAATGATAGGACTGTCAAATTAACAAAACAAAAATAATAGCTCCCCGCTCCCACCCTCCCCTTTCAATTAATTAAATACAGTGACGAAATTCATCAGAATAGTCTTAAAAACCCTTTAAAATGTTGGTGATGTCTAATTGTTCATCTTCAAAAAGTTCAAAATATTCATGATATCTAACTTTCAAAGCTGTTTTTGCCCCTTTAGGACAATGATACGAGTAGTTTTTTTTAAATTCTTTTATTTCACAAAATCTGTTTCTTCAAAGAATAAGTCATGCATTAGATGTAAATAGTCACGTTTACTCCCACACAAATTATTTTCTTATTGAGCACATAGTGAATCATGAAGAAAATATTACAAACTCAGCCATCAAGACATTGATCTACATTGCTACTCTCCACCCAGGTGTTAAATGGGTACCCGGTAGGATGCGAAAGCTAAATGTGCTTAGATTAGCAAGTGTGCGCTTGTAAAAATGACGCCTGGCTGAACTGCTCCCCAGGGAGTGGAAAATGTGCATACATTGTGTGCGGGTAAGCCTGAATCAAATGACCGGGGTAATAATACGATTGCAGGGCCCTCAAGGAGAACAGTATGAATACTGATGAGGCTACCCTGGGTAAACAACACATATTATTATTATTATTATTAAAGACAAACCTTCATTTTGCTTTGGACCTCTCTCACACCGAGACATTTTTCTCCCTCTCTCCAGTTCTTCTTGTCTCTAGCCACCTGGATGATCATCTCAATTTCAGCAGCACAGTATGAGTAAGCCATCTATCCACTTGACTCCTAGATTCTGAGATTGGATGATAACAAATAATAATACAAAATCAAAACAAATCTGAGATGTATAACTGTTCGACAGTGGAACGCTCTCCCTCTTGAGGTTGTCCTGGCTCCATCAGTAGAAGCCTTCCAGCGACAACTAAAGACAGGGGGGGGGGGAAGTAAATTCCGGCAAAATGTTTACTGCCACTATGTATATATACACCTGCACACCTGCACACCTGGACATCCCTATGTCGCCACACACATGCACTTTCACACATCTGCAAGAATCTTCAGCAGTGAAGGAGGCAGATTATCTTGAAGAAGAAGAAGATAAAATGAGGGGTAACTGTAGATCACCAAAACCTACCTACACAAGAGTATTATGTATATCATATTTTATTGTACATCATAATCTGTAGAGATGTCGTGGTCTAATGGATACGTCGTCAGACTGTGAATCACAATGTTCACTGTTAGAGTCCTGCTGCGGCACTAATGTCATGTCCTTTGGCAAGACATTAATCTCAATTTGCCACTCTATACCCAGGTGTTAAATGTGCTCTCCGTTCAAGTGAATCATAAATCAATGCATCCATTCTTGGTTTGCCACAAGCGTTGAATCTCTTTGTAAATTGGATATGAAATAATCTAGACATAGAAAACTTGATCCATAAATCATGTAGCAAATAGTACCGGTATATAAAAACCCTGCAATTTTCCAACGGCTGAAAACAGACTTTAAGGAACAACTGACCGTCAATGTTTTTTTGGGCAAATTTGATTAGGCCTAGAGTAGAGTCTCCGGTTTGCGGCATCGCCCGGTTTGCGGCCAGGGGTATTTGTTTTAAAAATAAAATGAATATGACTCGATAATAATCATTGAAACCTACCGCGGATTCCACGGTAAGTTCTGCTTTGCCGAAAACGTCCGTAGCAGGTGCTCCTGTCGGTACGGAGTATCCGTCAGCGATGTCGGAAATCTACGGCACCAGTCGCCGATGAAAATTCCAGCAGGTGCTAACTTTTAAGTTAAGAGATCGAGGCATGACTAGATCAATATTGTAGCTCTATTTGTCCGATATTTGTCCGATTGGAGGTGAAATTTGATGTTTTTGTGGAAGTATGATGGCTGTGGTCTGTCTCCTATCGCAGATATTTTGATTGTGCCACCGCATGGCCAGTTCAATTCAATTCAATTCAATTCAAAAATGGTTTTTATTAGAGCAGAAACATGATTCATATACAAATACAATTTTACATGAAGGACAGCCTTGGCTGGAATATACATGTTTACATGTTCAGCACAATAGATAACACTTTTAAATATATACAAGTAAAAAACTAGCAATATCAAAAATAAGACTCCGATTCTGTAACTAAAATCCATAAACACATTGCACAAGTTTCCAGAAATACAGCTGTAATTGTTTACAAATGTCCTAGAAAAGTCAATACAAGCATGGTAAAAAGATTAAAATGGGTACATTTTAAACAGCCTGTTGAGGGGAGGAGACAAGCACTTAGTACACCTGCAATAACGATAAAAGTACAAAATAAAACAATTTTTTTTTTTTCAACTTTTATTGAGTATGTCAACTAGAAATGACAGTGGGCTATTTTTAAATCTTTTTGTTTTGAATTGAAATTGTTGATAGATGGGAATACGGCGAAGAGTGATATTAGTGTTTTTTTTCTTAGGTAACCAGGTCTGACAAATAGAGTGATTTGAAAGAGATTTTGCGAATTTTCTACAAAGTGCTAGTCTCCTCTCCTCAAGAGTTGGTAAATTGCATACTTGACATGCATTAGAATAGGTAATGTAACTAGGCCCTAAAATAATCTTACATACTCTACGTTGTATTTTTTCAAGATTATTATTTTGTTCTACTGTAAGACTGCTATGGAACGCAGGAGCACAATATTCTAAAATTGGTCGTATATAACCTACGTATATTGTCACTAAATCCTTAGAAGGTAAGTTGAATTTCTTAAGTTTCCTCAACATGTACAGTTTTCTATTGCATCTTTTGACTAAATCATTAACATGTAAATTCCATTTTAAATCAGATTGTATAATTACTCCAAGAATTTTGAGAGTTTGTACATTGCATAGAGTAGAGTCATTAATGGAAAGAACTTCAGGAGGAGCAGGATTTTTCATAAAAGTAACCTGCAGGGTAAAACACTTCAAAGGATTGAGTGACATATTGTTTGATTGAGACCAGTCTTGCACAGAGTTAAGTATGGGTTGTAATTGTGAAACGTCTGTTGATTTACGACATTGTACTAAAGATAAATCATCAACATATTTGAAGTAATGTATAGGAATATTTTCACATAAATCATTAACCATAATTGAAAACAGAATTGGGCCAAGGCGTGTCCCTTGGGGAACACCGGCATGACAAAATTTAATATCAGACAGAATTCCATTATATAATGTACTCTGTTTACGACATTCTAAAAAACTTATGATCCAACTTATTATCCAAGGTCTTATGTGCATATTAACCATTTTTTCAATTAAAATGTTGTGATCCAAGCGATCAAAAGCTTTTTTAAAATCTGTACATACAATAGTTGATATAGACCTGTTGTTTTCTGCATGTTTATAAAGATGATGTAAAAGGCCAACAAGATAATGTGTAGTAGATAACCCTGGTCTGTTACCGAACTGATGTATATCAATGAGTTTCTCAATATCTTTCAATAACCATTGAGCCATAAAAGATTCAGCTAACTTAGAAAAATGTGAAGTCAAAGCTATAGGACGCAGATTATTAATACAAGGTGGGTGCGATTTTGGAATAGGAGTTACTTGAGCGGATCTCCACTGTGAAGGGACAACTCCTTGTCTAAAAGATATATTAAGGATCTTAGTAATCGGTACACTCAATTCACATGCAAATTCTCTAATTATGCGAATAGGAAGATCTTCTCTAACAGATGCTTTGTGTAACTGCATTTTACGCAGTTTACAATAAACTGCCCAACAACTAATCTCTGGACTTTCACACTGAGAAGGTAAAAAGGCTGGTAATGATTTCCTGTTTAAAGGAGAAAGATCAGAAGCAATAGACACAAAAAAGTCATTAATTGCATTAGCTGCTTGTTTAGGATACTGCGAACTTTGAACATCAATACCAGGAATAATTATCGGAATATGATCCTGGTTACCATTTGTAAGTATCTTTATATGTCTATACCAGGCTGAAGGATTATTCAACTTTTCCTTTTTAATACGGGTATTGTAATAATTCTTTTTTGCAACAGAAATAGCTTGAGCAACTTTATTTCTTAAATGCCTCCAAAGAGTATCGTTTCCTTTTTTAAAAGCTTTTTGTCGGTCACAAATAAGTGATTTGATAAATGGAGTTACCCAAGGTTTGTCAGAACTACTCACTTTCACTTCACGCGAAGGTAAGTATAGGTCAAGGTGACATTTAATGGTGTCAATTAACCTATTACATGTTAATGATAAGTCAGAGGTATCTAAAAATACTTCTTCCCAAGTTTGTGCAGTCAACCATTGACCAAATAATCGTAATCCACTGTCCTTCAAAGGACGAACAATCCTGGTCTTTTTATTAGTAGTATTTTTTGAACCAGTAGTTGAATGCCAAATAATGCAATTGTGATCGCTTCTACCAATTGGAGGAAGAATTGAAATATTTGCATAAAATTCAGAAAAGTTTGTAAAAATCTTATCAAGTATATTACATCCCCTAGTTGGGGTGGCCGCAAACCGGCACGTAATTACGTGTTTTTTCTGGTTTGCGGCGGGGGGTGTTAATACACACATAACATGCGGGATCGTGTATGATGGTATGTGTGCTGATGTGTGTACCCGCTATGACCCGATAGTTTCTAGTACTTGTAGTACTTACCCCCGGATGGGATGATCCATTCGAGGAAAAGGTGAAATTGTTTAAAACTTGACAAATTTACCGTAGCAACAGATAAACATGAGAATTTGGGTTACCCGTAGTAATTTGGTACATGCTTTCATCGTGACGTAGCGCATAAAGCTTTGTGACGTATGCGTGCCGCAAACCGGTAATGCGTGCCCGCAAACCGGGGAACTCGAAGCATTTCGAAACGTGGTCAATGCTGACCACGCTGTGGGTCAGTTAGGTTATTTGTGACTTCTATTTATATGGACTCTTTATTGAGGGTATTGAAGTATTCTGTGAGTATTCCAATAAAAATAGAATCGGCAGTTCCCGCCGCGCGCCGATCGGCCGCAGACCGGAGCCACTACTCTAGGTCGAGGCCCAGACTAGATGAAACTAGATTATTCTCACAAGTAACAGAGAAGCAAGACACAGTTAAGTCACGCAGCAGAATAAAATCAGCAGCAGCTTTGTTGGAATTACCCCCCACGTCACTCTCTCTTTCTCTCTTTCTCCTGTTCACACGCACACATAGTACACATCACTCGGCCTTTTTCTCGATATCCAATTCAATCCTACCGGTAACAGTTAACACGCACAGATTTGTACGAATGGGACTGTATAGCTGTATCAACGACAACGTATTTGAACAAGTAAGTTGTGCTGCAGAAGATCAATACTAGTCTATACCATTTAGAAATCTCAATATATTTTCATGTATTTTTATAGAAGCAGTTACAAAATTTTGGAAGATACGTGAAATAGGGCTCATATATTTTTTGGTAGCTCTCTCTAACTTACGAATCTCATGAACGTGCGATCGTCAACAAAACGTGTTTATAGTTAGTCTGACTTCCAAGCCGTTATTCCTTTCTTTCTACTTTCTTGAAGTTTTGTATGTTGACATCAAATCAGAGCTACAACGAAGAAAAAAGTAAGATAAAGAAAGTAAATCCAAAAGTTGATATCCTCTTCATGATGGATAATGGAGGCTTCCGTTTTTGTTTGTTCGTTTGTTTGTTCGTTTTTGTTTGTATTTGGGGAGGGATTAGGAAATAGTTGGCTGGACATCAGGCTAAGCTGAGAAAACTTTTGCTAAAACAACAACAACAACAACAACAGCAAAGTTTTGGGTAGAGATGTTCAAGGTGATTGAGAAATGTAGGGGGGGGGGGGGGGTAAAATATCAGACTGAATGTTGATTACAAAAATATTATGGTTTAATTTAAAAAACGGCAGTACTGCATTAGGCTTATACATGCACGAACAGAACAAATAGATCTTAGATCAGTGGAACTGGGGACAAGTGGGGGTACGTACAATGGCATGCATATGCGCCAATTTGCTAAGAACGAAATGTAGCCCTTTGAGAAATATAAATCGTACTCATTTCTACCAAATACCCCTACTCTTTATAAGAAGTGTGTCATTTTGACACTGAAACGTCTGTAAATGCGATTTTCTAATTGACTGCTAAAATGATGTATTCTCCAACCGTAGGCCTATATATATTTACTGTCATTTACCCATGCCATTTTGAACTATACACTACGGCAAAATAATCAATTTCCCTTCAAAAAAAGAAAGAAAGAATAATAATAATAGTAAACAAATTTTTATAGACAGTGAGGGAATTTTAAAACCACAGTCACAATGCACCCCGCCCCCCCCCCCCACTCAGTGTTATTTAGGGTACGCGTATGCTTGTTCCCTCTTATTGAAAGCATCCCCTATCTGAGGACTGCCAACATTTCTGAACCCCCCTTTCGCGGGCTAAATATCAATCATGTAAAAAAAAAAACGAAAAAAAAAAGAGAGGTATTTTTGCCATGATAAAATATTTTTGCCACCCTTCTTCTCGACCCGAAACAACATATTTATTATAGCTTCCCTCACATATGTCCATGATCAAGCGACTGGGAGGAATTTTTTGTCTTCTTCAAATTTTCCCCAAATTCGCTCGCATTTAGTTGATCTAAATTATGTAACCTTAAAGGTCTTATTCAATATGTATTAAAGAGACTGAGCTTAAAGGGGAAGTCCACCCTGATAATATATTTGTTTTAATACAAGGAGAAAAATGAGAAAACAGATCAGTGAAGAATTGAGGAGAAAAATACAATAAAAAAGAAAGTTATGGATTTTTAAAATCCATAACTTTTCATGAAATACTTGAAATATGTGAGTCAAATTGGGAACGCAGTCTCTAAATGTGATGTCACCCCTCACATTTTTATCTTTTGTTGAATGCAAGAAATGTCATTGAATTCCATTATGTTTAAAATAATAATATATATTTTCTTCATGTCTATCTCGATCATAATTATCACGGATAACAATCTTTCTTGCAAGCACCCCATACAAAATAGGTCTATACTATTCCTTTAATATTAAGAGAAATGGATATTTCGGGTCGGCTGTCATTCAGATCAGTGGTGAATTGTGAAAGGATGACATCACAATTTCTGACCGCATGGCCAATTTGTCTTAAGATTCCACGATTTTTATGATTTTGAGAGATTCATAACTTCCTTATTAATTTTGTTGTCCGATTTTATCAAACTTTCACTGGACTGTTTCTTTAATTGTTTTGCTTTTATTGAAACTAATTTAATATCACGGTGAACTTCTCCTTTAAAAACCCAATTTAAAGATAGATCTGACCGTTCAAAATGCGGCTCTTCTGCTTCTCGAAACAAAACAAAATTACCATAGCCCCCCTCGCATGTGCCCCTGATTAAAGCAACTGAAAGACTAATTTATTTCGAATTTCCCTAAAGCTCGTTTAATAAGGCTCTCGCATTAATAGTTTATCAAAATTACGTAATCGTAAAGGTGTTCTTTGATATTTCTTAAGGTGTTCTTTGATATTTCTTAAAGAAATTGTGCTAAAAACCGGTCTGACCTCACAGATCTTTAATAAATTAACTTCCAGACCACTGGACAAACAACTGCAAAATATGATGCAGAAGCAGTATCTACAACCATGAAAATATAAATAACAAATATTGAGGATAATCTTTGATAATGTACATGATGTATCAATTAGAATATAGAGGTAATGCTGTCTGAAAATTGTGTACTCTATCGCTTTGCGACTACCCTTTGTATTGGTGCCCCTTTCTGTTAAAAAAGTGTCCCCTTTGTTGGTACCCCTCTCCCACTTTGGAAGTCGCCCGACCGCCCTAGGTAGTGGGTTCGAGTTCTGGCGCGGCACTAAATTGGCAACACATTAAAATCTAACATTTGCCAGATGTTACATGAGTATTGGTAGAAAATAATTCTGGGTTTGTGAGCACAGATGTCGATAGCGTAGAGAGAGAGAGAGAGAGAGAGAGTCGGGCTAATATTGGGAGCGCATTGAGCACCTTGCTTGGTGCCCCTTTAAAGTGTTGGGAGCCCCAGACATTTGATGGCAACATTTTACTTAAATTATATCATAATGTGAAAGAGGATGTAATTTAACACACACTATCCTGCAAAGATCCCCCCCCCCCAAAAAAAAAAAAACGGGTTTGGAGGCAAAATATTGATAAAAGAATACATAATTTTGATTTTTTTTGTTGTACCCAGAAAACCCAAATTTTGTATTCTTTCATCAATATATGACTTCAGACACATTTTTTTTTTTTTTTTTTTTTTTGGGGGGGGGGGGGGGGGGCAATGGCAGTGCAATTCATATTTTACATGAATGAATATACCATTGTAATAATACAAGGGATAATCTACCCCACTACCCCGCTATACAGATGTCTGTTCGGCAAACATAATGGGAACGTGGTAAATATTTGTTTGGGCATATCCGATCATATACATACACAACCACATTTGTCAACATCCCCACGCCAAAATTATTCTAGCGATTTTTTGTTCTTCACTACTTTGTTTTATATAGTTTTACGTATATTTACTTTTACTTCTCAGTTTCAATATCAGTCTGGCTTCATAATATATTTAATTTTCCATTCCGTCATTTTGGAGCAATAAACTATTTATCTAGTTTATTTACTCGTGGGGTAACCTCGATTAGTATGTTGCAGTTTGTTAGCTCCAATTACCAAATAATATATAGAGTAGATTAAATGAACGTACATGTTGGTGATTTGGTGATACAAATTTCAAAATTCAACCTTGATGGATAGCAGGGTGTATTACCAGATGGGAGGAAGAGAAGGATAAAGGAACATACCACATTATGTTGGTAACATTTTGGTTGTACGAAATTTCGTTCATATTTGTCAACAGGAATTTCATTAAAATTTCTTTTAAGATTTCAGTATTCTCCGTATGGCAAGATTCTCATACAAACTATAAAGGATAATAGTTTTGACCAGAAAGTGGATGATTTCGTGATCTCGGTAGCCTGAGTCAACTTACTTTATTGAATTAGCCTGGCCGAGCTTTTTTAATATTCTTATAATTTCCTAAATTTTCGACTAGAAACAGATGTACTATATTTAGTTTAATTAAATACCGGGTTTGTACACAGATCTTAATTTAGCAGTTCTTGTTTCTATATACATTTGGTCAGTATGCATAGATGTAGTTCAGTTTACTTAAAAATATACCGGATATGCCAATAAGTCCAACATGTATTAATTTCGTGTAGTTTTGTTTGCGCATATTGACGAACTCATGTTGACTACGCATTTTACATTATACTTGGCCCATATCTATAGTTTACGTTGCTAAACTAATGAGGTTAATACATTTATTCCTTGCGCAAAGCAGATGTCACACTCAAATTCAATATTTATGGTTCAGAAAATATGGAAGCTGCTGACGCAATCGACAATCTTTCTTCAACATAATTGGACTTACAATATTAATCCAATATCATATTTTAAAAATGGGTCGAATGACACGCTGCTATCTATCTTGAAAGTATAAAAAGGGAGACAGACAATCATAACTCATCGAGTTGCATCAGCTCAACTATATTCCATAGTTCGCAACAGCCTTCTTTTCCAACAAAACAAGAGATTTACTACCAGAGACACCATGTTTTCCTCGGCAGCTTTAGCATTCGTCGCTCTTGTCAGCGTTTTTGGTGGTGGTATGTTAACAATAATTTTTTTTTTCTGAAACGATTTTAAAAAAATAGAAATCCGATTAGAATTGGTATTATTTATATGCAGTACTGGATCCAGGTATGGGCCGAATCAGCCGAACCCTCCCCCCCTTTGAACGCCTTTAAATAAGAGAGGAAAGATAAGGAGAGGAGAAATCGAAAACAAGGTAATAGAGAAGAAAAGGAAAGAGCAACTTAGCGAGAACCCCCTCCCTGCTACCCTGATATAACAGAATGAATTGCAAAGAGAACATTACAATTTATATCGCTCTTGACGGACATTTAGAAGGTTTTGAATTGCTAAAACTAGAGAGTTGCCCGGGGCACAGGCTCTGTCTCTGGATGTCACCCGGAAAGGCTGGCGCTTACGAGCTCGCAGTGCACTCCAATAATATTGGGGCTGTGTACATTTAAAAGGGAAATTTACCATGGGAAATTTACAATAGTATGTAATTAGTTGTCTTTTCAAGCTTTATTGATCATGTTCCGAGCTCTGAGAGAATATGAACCGTATCTGTTAAGGATGGGCAGCGCTGTCCTAATCATTTTATGGGGAATGGTAGGGAAGCTTTATTCCGGCTGTGTGTGCAACATAATGCACTGTAGGTGACATTTTTGGGTCTATTTCTGTTAATTGTAATTTAACACTTGCTCTGAAATATTTATGCGATCTCTATTTTTATACTATAACCAGGTAACTTTGATATTCATTATCTTTTGTGTTGACAGAATAATGAGAATGATCCTAGCAATTTGGACTTTTAGCACCAAAATTGAGATTTATTTTTGATTTGATTTATTATTGTTATTCATCATTATTATTATCATTATTATTATTATTATTATTTTCATTATTTTCATTATATGTTCATCTTTAATCGTGCATGTATCATTATCATTGTTATTCATCATCGTTATTATTATTATTTTCATTATTATCATCATTATTATTATGTCTTTCCTATTTCCAGGGCGCTGTGACATTACTTTTCCAAATTATGAACAATTGGGGGTCTTCAAGGTGAAGGACCTACCATGCAATGGCGCCGATCCAGAAAGTCCAGACGAAATTGGCACTACATTCGAGCTTTTTAACAAAGCCATTCCACAAGGAGAGGTAATAGTTTATTTTCATTTCAACACCTTTTGTAATTGTACTACGGGAGTAATGGTAATGGGCGGGGGTGGGGGGGGGGGGGGGGGGTATAAATCCCCACGCACATCCTCTTGTGAGAGGAGAATGTCCAATAATGGCCTCTACAAAGATACCTCCACTTTTCAACTTAAACATTTAAATCTGTTAGTGAAAATTTGTTATGACTTTGCTTATGCTTATTATATACATGTTATCAAGATTACTCTGATAATTATTATAAAATTATTATGTAAAAAAGTGTAGAGGTCTTGTGAATGGGTACCTGGTAGAAAGACATTCCTTGACTGCTTGAGCGCCTTATCATGGTATAAAAGCTGGGATATTAAAATTCAAAGAGTACAGTATTATTACTGATAAGGCTATCCACGGTCAAAACAAAGAAGGCAGATTATTATTATCTATATTTTTATTATTGTTATTATTATATTTATTACTATCATCATCATTATTGTATGATATCTTGTATTAATACATTATAATTATTATTTTTCTATTACTTTTATTTCTATTATTTCTATTTCTATCATTGTTATTCTTCTTCTTCTTCTTATTATTATTATTATTGTATTATAATTGCATGTAGATGCTAGACTGGACTAACGCGGACAGTGTCAGAAGTTCGAGTTTCAACCCCTCCTGGCCGACCCATTTTTTGATCCATGGATGGACAGACACGATGGCAAAACCAATATGGATGAACTTGAGGAAAGCGTTGGTAGACAGGGTAATAATTTTTTCATTATATTGTATAAATATATATATATAAATTGAAAATGCTGAGAGGAACAATGTCCAACGAGATGTAGATTAAAGATAGTAGAAACTATATCAATTAACAACGCTAGATGTAATACACAAGGTACATGGATTGAAGTTCACAGGCGTTTTCGATTTATTCTCATTAGGTGAAGAGAGCGTTTTCATGGTTTTAAAGAGAATTATAATAAGATAATGATTATGATTGTGTCCTTAGGATGAGCCAAGAAATGTCATCTGCGTGGACTGGAGCACCGGCGCGTCCAGTAAGTGGTATCCGACTCCACGTGACAACACCCGTGTGGTAGGAAGGATCATTGGTAAGATGATCGAGCAGCTGGTCGACAATAAGGGCGCCAGATTTGAGGACATGCATATCATCGGCCACAGTCTGGGAGCTCACATAGCTGGTTATGCAGGAGAGGCACTCGGCGGCAGAGCCGGACGTGTCACAGGTAAGAAAGACGACGTTGTAAACCGGCGCCACTGTCCGCCATTTAAAATAACAGATTTGTCCTATGGGTATTCAGTGAGCTCTGGGCTGCAGAAATGTGAATCCTATTGCATTTTAGGCGTCTTCGTCATGAAAACTGAAAAATCGGCGTGGGTTACCTCGTCTTGACTCAACAAAGCTTTGTCTGTTAATTGTTTATATTATAATTGTTATTGACACACCGCATGGATAAGAATCGATCGGTTTGGTGACGGTTGGGCGGATTGATTTAGGTCAATGGGTCAAAAGATGATTATTTAGAATTTTTGTGAGAATTATTTGGGACATTCATTCTTTTTGACCGATAATGCCACAACTAAAAATTTGAACATTGTTCCCAAATTTTTGAATGGCATATGGAATTGGTGATATTGGCTTCTTTAAAGATTTGTTGATCATCATTAACATTAAAAACAAATCTCAACTCAAATGGATACGTAGCCGAATCTATATAGGTTTTCGTTGGTGTTGAGTCTCTTGTAAAATCTCATCCGTGGTAGAACAATGTATTCCCTACAGAGAGAGAGAGAGAGAGAGAGAGAGAGAGAGAGAGAGATGAAGGGGGGGGGGGGAGGGGAGGGGAAGAGGAATAAATCAAACACGTTGTCCATTTTGTTGTATTTGTTTCAGGACTAGACCCTGCTGGCCCATTGTTCGGTGGTACCGACAATCAATGCAAGCTGGATAAGTCAGACGCCATGTTTGTAGATGTCATGCATACTGATGGAGACCTGGTTGCTTTTGGTGGTGCTGGATTAATGGAGGAGGTATTATATGATAATGATAATAATAATTTAAAAATGAATAAAATTACTGAAGGCATTAATTTCGTATGTGCCTCTTTTCATAGTACTATTTGCATTTATTTTATATGTTGAAAATTATTTTGTAAATTCAATATTTGTAAGCGTTAAGCTGTGAATTTGGATTTGTATCAACAAACATTATTCAATTCAATTCAATACTGTTGCGTAAATGTTGTCTCTATTAATTAACGCATATTTGTTTCACCTCCACAATGGCAGTGCGGCGACCATGACTGGTACCCGCATGGGGGCAAGGACCAACCCGGATGTGGAATGTTCGATGCCGGATGCGACCACATGATGGCTATAGAGTACTTCACAGAAAGCGTCTTAAACAAGAAATTTCCCGCTACCAAGTGGGCCAAAACCGTGAAAGACTTGTTCAAGAACCCGTCGGACTGCATAGGTGAAGGGGACTGTCCAGAGATGGGTTTCAACGATCATGATGACTCAAAATATAGGGGAGGAGACTTCGAGATGGACACTTCCCTCTAGAATATATAAGCAATCAAGGTTAAATCCATTATTCAGAATGGAACCCCGCAGGACCACGTACAGAGATACCTGTTATTGACCTTCTAGAAATTGTTAAATTGTTGAGTATCAAATAGATTAGGGTATCTTGTTATACCATCAATTATATTTTGTTTTGTCATCTAACTTTGTGTGATTAACTCAGAGCTGGATACGAGAGATGAATCTTAATAGATTCTTTGAAAAAAGGCAAATAAAAAAACCAAGGACTTTTCTTTTCAGAATTAATTGAGGTTAACGAATGATCACTGTCATTCCTTGATTTTATATTGAAGACTGATTTCGTCGCTGGGTCTGTAAGACCGCTTGGCTTTAAGCACACTCAAACTCTCAACGCACATCCTGAATAGGAACAAAGTGAATTTCTTTTACCATTTTAAATTGAATGTTTTGAAATAATTTACACGATAAGTTAAAATAAATCCTTAACTCGAAAGTTTATGTAAAATAAAATAAGACCTATCAATCCCACCTGTCTAGTTCATTTTACAATTATTTACCATCTTGTCTTCGTGTTTATTATGTGCAGTGGGGATGAAAAGGATAAGAAGATAAAAATACATTTGGAAGAGCATGCGAGAATCGTGGTGTATTCAGAAAAGTTAAAGGTATCAATCACATTAAGAAAGACCACTGAAACAAAAAAATGTAAATATTATAGAACGAGAAAGACATTTAAAGAAGGACTGATTGGGAGATAAAAAGAAGAGAGTGGAAGAGAGAGAGAGAAAGAGAGAGAGAGAGAGTGTGTGAGTGTGTGTATGCGAGCGAGAGAGGATATCGAGGGTTCAGTGACACAAAGACGTAACTCCATATTTTGCCAAAATGAGTATTTGATTTAAAAATGTTCAGAAAAATGTGGGCTTTCCAGGAAACACAAAGACTTAACTCCACCCAACACCCCATTGAAGTCAATGGTTAGTGAAGCATAGCCTTATATATAAATAACTCCTTAAGGCCTAAGTGCTCAGTGACACACAAACCACTTTTTCTCAAAATGGCCAAAATGGAGTTACGTCTTTGTGTCACTGACCCCTCGATATATATATATATATATATATATATATATATATATATATATATATATATATATATATTTATTTACATACAGTGCGTCCCAGAAAAAGAATTATCGATGTTTTATCATAAATTAATCACAATTATCATTAATAAATGAAAAATATTTGTAAAGCTTAGATCCTGCTCTTTCATTTGATGCAACTCATATAATGCATTCAATTCATTTCATGCAATTCATTATATAGTGCGTCCCAGAAAAAAACGAAACCGAGAATTATCGATGTGTTATCATAACGTAGTCACATTTATAATGACTAAATTACACATATTTGGAAAGCTTAGATCCTCTTATTTCATTTCATGCAACTCATATGATGCATATTTCACGCATGAGTGATTAAAATGAATTTGAAGAGAGGAAACCAAAATGTCATTTGGCGGACGGTATCGGAATTCCAATGAAAAGAAAGAAAAAAAAATCACATTTCCAGAAAGCTGAGGTTCTGCCCTTTCATATTACACCTCAATCAGGAAAAATGAGCAAGGAATGACAAAGTTCTGTTTGTTTAAAGTAGTGCTTGCATTTCCATAATCTTGTCAAACGAATTCGTTTTCACTGGGTGCCTGCCATAGCAACATGCAGAATTGACAACAGAATTAACTCTGTTTCGTTGACAATCAGACATCAGACAAGTCTTTTGTCTACTTCATAACAATACCAGTGCGTGCCAATGCACTTTGCAACTTTTCACTTCGACCCTGCCCCTTATTCTGATGTACTGCTCATTCCATAGCTGCAAAGCCATAACAAATTTTCAACAACACATTTTAATTTTTTAGTTGAAAAGTGGAGATATCTTTGTACAGGCCATTCCCCTCCCACAAAAGTATGCGTGTAACTGGTGTATACCCCCGGACTTACTCCCGTATTATAATAACAAGAGGTGGTGTAATAAAAGTAAACTTACTATTACCTCTCCTTGCGGAATGGCTTTGTTAAAAAGCTCAAATGTAGTGCCAATGTCGACTGGACTATCTGGATTGGCGCCATTGCATGAAAGGTCCTTCACCTTGAAGACCCCCAATTGTTCATAATTTGGAAAAGTAATGTCACAACACCCTGGAAATAGTAAAGATATAATAGTAATGATAATAATGATAATACGAACAATTATAGTACATGTAATACTAATAATACAAATAATAATAATGATACGATTAATGATTAAAAAAAAACAATGATGTTGATAATAATAATACAAAACAACAGCAATAATTATAGTAATAATATTAATGATATTAATAATATAAAGATAATGATTAATATAATTTAAATATGAACAAGATACTAATAATCGGGTCTCATTGAGCCAGTTTAGCCATATCAATATTCCGGGGACTGCTCTTCTTGAAATAATTTCTTACCCAAGCAATTACAAGGTATCCATTTATACCTGTGTAGAGGGTGACGAATGTGGATGAATATTCATATAGAAGAATATTCAAATTCAAATTTAATGTCAGTTTTGTTGTTCAAAGTCCAAACGTCTAGGATCATTTTCAATATTCTGTTAACAAAAAACATAATAAATATCAAAGTTACCTAGTTATATTATTACAAAGAAAATCACATAATATTTCAGTGCAAGTGGTTAATTACAATAAACAAAAATAGACCCCAAGATATTATGCCAGCTTTGTGTTGTGTTGTACACAAAGCTGACATAAATATTTTCTTCCATTCCCCATAAAATGACTCCGGCAACACTGCCCATCCTTGATAGATATGGATTTCTTTTCTCGCTTTCTCCTTTTGCTCTATTCTTCTTTTTACTCTTTATTTTTTAAAAAATCTTTCCCCATCTTTTATTTCCTCTCTTTATGTGTTTAAGCCTTCAAGGGGGGGGGGGGCCGGCCGATTAGGCCTCCACCTGGATCCGCCACAGCATATTAATAATAACAATTCCAAATCGAATTAAAGAAATATTCATTTGAGAAATAAATTATTGTTAACATACCTCCACCAAATATGCTGACAAGAGCGACGAATGCTAGAGTTGCCGAGGAAAGCATATCTCACGTAGTATCTCGTTTAATTGAAACTGAAGAAATCTGATGAAAGACCTGGAATATAGTTGAACTGATTTATAAATGTCTTTCTCTCTGTTTTATACTATCAAGAGAGCTATAGGAGCGTGTCAATCAACCCAATCTTAATAACATAATATTGGATTAATAATTGTAATCCAATTTTGTAAAAGAGAGAGTGTTGATTACGTCAGCAGCTTCCATTTTTTCTGAACTATAAAAATATAGATCTGAGTGTGACATCTGCTTTGTGTAAGGAATAAATATATCAGCCTCATTAGTTTAGATACGTAAACTGCAGATATGGGCCAAGTTTGATAGAACATACGTAGTCAACAAAAGTGTGTCAATACGCGCAAACAAAAATACACCATATTGATACCTTTTGGACTTATTGGCATACCCGGTATATTGTAAAGTAAACTGAACTACATCCATACCGGACAAATGTATATGAAAACAAAAAGGTGAAATTACCATCTTTGTACACACACGGTATTTAATTAAACTAAATATAGAAACAAATATCGGAGTCCGGCAAAATCCACCTGTGTGTGGTCAAAAATTAAGGAAATGATAAGAATAAAAAATTAATAAAAAGAACTCGGCCAGGCTGATTCAATAAAGTAAATTGACTCAGGCTACCGAGATCACGAAATCAACACCTACATTCTGGTCAGAACTTTCAATCTTCTTTATAGTTTTTCATGGGAAAGTTGACATATGGAAAATACCGTTATATAGTGAATTTTTTGTTGACAAATATATATGAAGTTTCGTACAACTAAATTTGTACCTACATAATGTGATATATTCCTTTATCCATCTCTTTCTCCCATCTAGCAATAAACCCTGCTCTTCCCTCTTCTTAGTATTGTTTGAAATTTTTAATTTAATATAAAATCACCAAAATGTATATTCATTTAATAGTCAACTACAATAGACATACTTATTATTAACTGTTCACTTGAACTAACAAATAGCAACATGTTTTTTTTTTTAATTATCCCCCGAGTAAATCAATCATTGAATGCAATCACAATTTCTGGTAGGCCTTTTTGCAAATTAATGTGCACATCTTTTTCAGGGAACATACACTATTCATTCACGCACTATGTGTACCATCTCCATTCCCTGGGGAGTATCCCTACCATAATTATGATCAACATGTTAATACGCTTGACTAGAGGGCACTTCTTTGTGGTTATCAAAATGGAATATTGCAGCGGGGTTGGATCCTTATGATAAACAAATCCATGCAGGCTTTTTTACCTTTGATGTAAACTTTCTGTTGTACATAATTACTATCTCTCTTCCTCATAGAGATGAGCCCAACAATCGTTTCGCGAGCTCCACCTCCTCCTACTCCTTTGTTTACCAACCCGGTAGCATATATATCGTCGGGGGGGGGGGGGGGGGGGGGGTAGTTTTCACACCAACCTCTTCAGCCAGCTTGCAAACTTTGCTTATGAAGACCTCTTAGTTTCGCCTGCATTTGCCCCCTCTCATCTATTCCTCTGTCTCTGTAGTTCCTTTCTCGGCCTCCTGCACCCAATATAACGGCAAATGCTTTGTTTTGTATGACTGAGTGCTAGATTTACATAACTGAGAGAAATAAACACACACAAAGGTTATGACGCTGTACTGAGTAATATCTCGTTATATTTCGAAATATATCATAATGAACTGCCCCTTTTTCATCATAGCTAATTTCTTCATATAGAGCTAGTTCCATCCTTTAAAAAAAGAGGATTGTCACTGATAGAGGAGAACAAAAAACATTGGACATGAATTTATTGCCTCTTTCACAGTACTGTGAGGGGTACACAAAAGGCCAGGCATGTTACATATTGCAAGGAAGTGTTTTCCAACTTAGATTTTAGCATTTATAGGAGGTAGTGTTTATAGGAGGTATTTATAATGAGATATTTTAAATGTGTAATCATGTTTATGATCACTACATTTGTTAAGCGAAAAACAATCGGAGTACTTCGGTGAGCCCATATTGACGATTTAATCAAGAAAAGGGTCTGTAAATATTTTAATGGAGAGTGTACATACATACCCGCGATGTATACTTTATCTATTATATGATATTATTATCAAGAAGTTTAGAATATCATATAGCTTATGATTTAATATTTTAGTCAGTAAAATATATGGTTTGTTTTCATTTCCTATGAGGCCGTGATAAATGTCTTTGGTGATTCTATGTGATGTTATATTGGTTCAATCAAGTAATACCTAAAATGCATCACACTTTCAAATATGATTTTGTAGGAGTAACTTATATGACCTATCATAAGATGATGACGTAGATTCTAATCAAATGATTGGTTAAAATCGTATACGTGACCAGTCATTTATTTTGCATAACGCTTAATTTGGATAATGACCGGTCATTATCAAATGGTAATGACCGGTCATTGTCAAAATCATGTTATAAAACATCATTTTATAAAACAAACAATACAACATCTTATAAAACAAATAAAACATAATCTTATAAAAAAAAAATACACATAATTTTGTTCGGGCATTAGTAAAATTACCCACAATCGGTAACTTCAAAACAGTCCAAACACCTTCGGCTATCGCCCCGGGCGTGATAGACAATTCCAAAGGTACCTCGTGTGGGAATGTGTTACTAATGCCCTCACTGCTGTGTATTATTTGTATACTAAACTATAGTTTGATGCTCATGTACCACTTACATTAAATTTGGACCCATAAAAGTAGATTTTGGATGCTTCAGACATGTTTTGCTATTGGAGCCTCATAACAGCAATGTATCAATGTATTTTTATACCTGAAAGTGATATACTGTGCTCCTATTAAAAAGAATTTCCGTTTCGGTTTAATAAAATTTGGAGTGGACTATTAGGCTATTATTATTATTATTATTATTATTATTATTATTATTATGAAATAGTTTAAGGTAGCCCCTTTGACTGTCTTGAGTAGCTGATCCTTAAGACCCTTCGGGGGCAACCTCAAGGCCTCCGAGGTTTTTCGTTGGTCTTAGCCGACACCATCGTAGGGAGCCCGAGCGGTGGCCACGCAGCTCTGCCGGCCTCTGTCGGAATTTTTTATAGGCCCAAGATGGTCTTAAATCGTCGGATTGCCGCCCGAATATCGATCGAATGTTTACCGATTACCGAGCGATCTACGGGCGACCTGTTTACGAGCTATGCGGCCTCAAAACTCGCCATTAGAACATTGCTAATTGGTAAGAACTCTTTATTCAGATGTCTTTGTCAGCACTATGCCCTGTCCCCATGAAAAGGAAATATTTTGTAGTGCGGCGGTCATCTGACAACGTAACGTCGTAAACAGAACGTTCGATTCCACATTTTGGCTATTTGCTACATGCATCTAGTTGTTGTGTTTGTGTATATAGTCGACACCAATATCCAAGCAGCAGCAAAATAAATTTTCTATAAAAAGGTTCATGAGTACACATAAACAAATGAAAAAATATATAATGTGCCCCAACACAAAATGTTGCGCTGAGCTTTGTTTTGCTCTGCTTCGTTTTGATAAGTGCTTTAAAATTTTTTTAAAAAAACGTATATTTACCAAGCATTCATGTTCCATAACTTTTTTAATCTACTGGGCCTCTCAGTTATGTAAATAATTTGTATTAAATTTTGAGATCGTGTTCATTATCCCTATGCTTAACTGCGTCTACAGGTCACGAAAAGAATTATTATGATGATAAGTATCAAAAGATAATCCCCGCCTTCACCCTAGTCAGCTAATCAGTAGCCTTGTAAATCCACATTTCATTATCCGAGTAGTACCGGTGTCCCTTCACACACCTTATTTTACCCTTCTTTATTTTCGAATGAGGTTCCGCGAACATGATGAAGTTGGGGGGGGGGGGGGTTCTAGAAACGATCCTTATGAATAAAGGTAAAGTAACTTTATTTGAATAAATTTTCTTAAAAGTAATTTTATAGACAAGTTTTAGGGTTAGGGTTAGGGTTTAGGGTTAGGGTTAGGGTTGAGATTTTTATAACGTCCTGCTAATGTACAATGTATATATAGGTTATAATATATACATGTATATATATCGAGGGGTCAGTGACACAAAGGCGTAACTCCATTTTGGCCAATTTTAGAAAAAAGTGGTTTATGTGTCACTGAGCACTTGGGCCTTAAGGAGTTAAGTCTATGATTCACTAGCCATTGACTTCATTGGGGTGTTGGGTGGAGTTAGGTCTTTGTATTTCCTAGAAAGACCACATTTTTCTGAACATTTTGATATCAAATACTCATTTCGACAAAATATGGAGTTACGTCTTTGTGTCACTGAATCCTCGATATCCTCTCTCGCTCACATACACACACTCATACACACACACACACACACACCACCTCTCTCTCTCTCTCACACATACACACACACACACACACACACACACTTTTTATTCCCCAATCAGTTTTTCTCGTTCTATTATATTTACAATGTTTTGTTTCAGTGGTCTTTCTTAATGTGATTGATATCTTTAACTTTTCTGAACACAACATGATTCTCGCATGCCCCTCCAAATATATATTTTTTTCATCCCCACTGCACATTATAAACACAAAGACAAGATAGTAAATAATTGTAAAATGAACTATACAGGTGGGATTGAAAGGTCTTTTTTATTTCACATAAACTTTCGATTCAAGGATTTATTTCAACTTATCGTGTAAATTATTTCAAAACATTTCAATTTAAAATGGTAAAAGTAATTCACTTTGCTCCTATTCAGGATGTGCGTTGAGAGTTGGGGGGTTCTTAAAGCCAAAGCGGTCTTACGGACCCAGTGACGAAATCAGTCTACAATAAAAAATCAAGGAATGACAGTGATTATTCGTTAACCTCAATTAATTCTGAAAAGAAAAGTCCTTAGTTATTGTTTGCCTATTGTCAAAGAATCTTTTGAGATTCATCTAACGTTCTTCACTCTAAATTAATCACACAAAGGTAGATGACAAAACAAAAGGTAATTAGATGGTATAACCAGATACCCTAATCTATTTGATACTCAACAATTGAACAATTTCTAGAAGGTCACTAACAGGAATCCCTGTATGTGGTCCTGCAGGGTTCCATTCCGAATAATGGATTCAACCTTGCAGTTGCTTGTATTCATTCTAGAGGGGCGTGTCCATCTCGAAGTCTCCTCCCCTGTATTTCGGGTCATCACGATCGTGGAAACCCATCTCTGGGCAGTCTCCTTCATTTGTGCAGTCCGACGGGTTCTTGAACAAGTCTTTCACGGTTTTGGCCCATTTGGTCGCGGGAAATTTCTTGTTTAAGACGCTTTCTGTGAAGTACTCTATAGCCATCATGTGGTCGCATCCGGCATCGAACATTCCACATCCGGGTTGGTCCTTACCCCCATGCGGGTACCAGTCATGGTCGCCGCACTGCCATTGTTGAGGTGAAACAAATATGCGTTAATTAATAGAGACAACATTTACGCAACAGTATTGGATTGAATTGAATAACGTTTATTAGTACAAATGCAAATTCCTAGTTTAACGCTGACAAATATTGAATTTACAAAATAAACGCAAATAGTACTTTGGAAATAGGCACATATGAAATGAATACCTTCAGTAATTTGTTTCTGTTTTAAATAATTATTTTAATTATTATCATTAACATACCTCCTCCATTAATCCAGCACCACCAAAAGCAACCAGGTCTCCATCAGTATGCATGACATCTACAAAAATGGCGTCTGACCGATCCAGTTTACATTGATCGTCGGTACCACCGAACAATGGGCCAGCAGGGTCAAGTCCTGAAACAAATACAACAAAATGGACAACTTGCTTAATGTATTCCTCTCCCGTCCCCCTCTCTGTCTCTCTTTCTCTTTTTCTCTATCTCTATAGGGAATACATTGTTCTACGACGGATGAGATTTAACAAGAGACTCAACACCAACCAAAACCTATTATGATCCAGCTACGTATCCCTGTTGAGTTGTTCATGTTAATGATGTTCAACAAATCATTTAAGAAACTAATATCACCACTTCCAAATGCCTGAATAATAATTTCGGATCCATTCAAAAAACTGAAAACAATGTTTAAATTTTCAGTTGAGGCATTATCGGTCAAAAAAAATGTATTTCTCAAATAATTCTCACAAAAAATCTAAATAATCATCTTTTAACCTATTGTTACCTCGGTCAATCCGCCAAACCGTCACAAATCCGATCGATTCTCATCCATTCGGCGTATTAATAACAATTATAATATTAACAATTAACGGACAAAGCTTTGTTGAGACAAGATGAGGTAACCCACGCCGATTTTTCAGTATTAAAAATAACCTTTAGTTCTGGTAAAAAAAAGGAAAATGAATTCTCACAGAATCAAACGAAGCTTACACTGAATGTTCAAGATTACAAATAAATGTCATGTGCCAAACGATTTTGGTAGAAAATGTATACTGGCTGGGTAATGAGCATAGAAAAATGAAAATCAAGGTAAGTAGGCCCGACACCATGTGTGTAGTCCCACATCTTTCTGTGTACAGTGCTTATTACTTTACCAAGACTGGGCAAATTTGTTATGATTTTGATGACTCGAGAACCTTGCAGTACACACCAAAACTTACATGCTACATGATCAACTTTTTTCTGATCCATTCCACAACTTTTCTTTCACAATGCAATCGCATGAACAGAACTCAACTTTATCTTAAGTAATGACTCCTTAAATGCAATACGCTTTAAATTTCTGTATCTTATAGCCCGGAGCTCAGTGAATGCCCATAGGACCTTTGTTGTGCGCTGTTACACGTTTAAACTAAACCAATCTTTTATTTTAAATAGAGGACAATGGCGCCGGTTTACCACGCCATATGTGAGGGAGCCTTTCGTCTTTCTTACCTGTGACACGTCCGGCTCTGCCACCGAGTGCCTCTCCCGCATAACCAGCTATGTGAGCTCCCAGACTGTGGCCGATGATATGCATGTCCTCAAATCTGGCGCCCTTATTGTCGACCAGCTGCTCGATCATCTTACCAATGATCCTTCCTACCACACGGGTGTTGTCACGTGGGGTAGGATACCACTTGCTGGACGCGCCAGTGCTCCAGTCCACGCAGATGACATTCCTTGGCTCATCCTAAAGACACAATCATAATCATTTTCTTATTATAATTCTCTTTAAAACCATGAAAATGCTCTCTTCACCTGATGACAATAATTCGAAAACGCATGCGAACTTCAATCCATGCCCGTTGTGTATTACATCTACCGTTGTTGATTGATATAGTTTGTAATATCGTCAATCTACATCTCGTTGGACATTCTTCCTCTTAGCATTTTCAATTTATATATAGGCTTATCATATTTATATAATATAATGCAAAAAAGATTACCCTGTCTACCAACGCTTTCCTCAAGTTAATCCATAGTGGTTTTGCCATCGTGTCTGTCCATCCATGAATCAAGAAATGGGTCGGCCAGGAAGGGTTGAAACCCGATCCGTCGTTATTGCCAGCGTTGGTCCAGTCTAGCATCTACATGCAATCATAATATCATAATTAAAATAATAAATAATAATATGAGAAATAAAAGTAATAGAAAAATAATAATTATAATGTATTTATAAAAAAATATGATACATTGATGATAATGATAGTAATAATGATGGTAATAAATATGATGATAACAATGATAAAATTAATGATGATATTAATTTGCCTTCTCCTTTTTTGTATTGCGGATAGCCTTATCAGTATCAATACTGTATTATTTGGCGGCTCCGAAATCATTTTATTATCCCAGCTTTTATAGCCGATCTAGCTATCATGATAAGGCGCTCAAGCAGTCAGAAGAAATTGCTTCCTACCTGATACCCATTTACAAGACCTGGTGGCATGGGTGTCGATCCCGGGGGGGATGGGGGGGATATATCCCCCCCAATATTTCAGGTGGGGGGGATGGCCTGTACAATCATCCCCCCCAATAATTCACCATAAAAAAAATATAAAAAAATGAAGAGAAAAATTAATGATGAGAGTCCGATGAGAGTAGTTAATGGTTATTAGTCGCAAGATGACCATCAATATACACATTTTGCTATCTCATTTTTACAATACATACATATATACAAAGTAAATAAGACAACCGTATATGAGACAAGAATAAATTGAATTCTCGCTCATACGGCTTCATCAGGAATTGATGAATTTATTCAATTTGTTCAATCAACAGCATCATAGAAATGCAGTGCGCCAAATGCAAAGACGCAGCATCAAAAGCAACGAGCTAAATGTTAAGTGTGAAGCACAAAAGTAGCAATCTGCAATGCACATCAGACAATCCTGGACGGTGTAAACATAGATGAACTCTGTGACGATTTCGTGATGAGATCGGAGACAAGGAGAAAGATTTTCGGACATTAGTATGACTTATAAAATAGTTCACTAGTTGTTATGTTGTTTCCGTTCACCCTTTTTAAAATTCACGTCATTGTATCTTTATTTTTATTTTTTTCACTCATTTTTTTCCTGATATTTCCAAAAACATTTTTCATTTTTGGAGAAAGATTATTATGTCACAACTTATTTGTGACACAACTTATTTTCAGTGGGGAAACTAAATTCAGACAAGGATTAATATAGAGAACAGTACAACGAATCGTCTTCTTTCTCTAATAATTTAGCGAACAGGGCAAAGCTGTTAGGGGGCAACTAAATTCAGATGTGGATTAAGAGTAATAATCAAATGAAACGTCAAAGTACACGATACAACTAATCGTCTTCTTTTACTAATAATTTAATGAAACGTGAAAGCTTCCGCGCTACGCGCGGAAAGGACGAAAATGAATACAGACAAGGATTAAGAGTAATAATTTATTGAAACTGAATTCATGTAGGACACGATACAACAAATCGTCTGCTTTCTCTAATAATGTAATAAAATGGGAAAGCTTCCGCGCTTCGCGCAGGAATGGGCAAAAATGAATTCAGACAAGGATTAAGAGTCGAGAATGGTACATAGAATCGTCTTCTTTCTTTAATAATCTAATGAAACGTCAGAGCTACCGCGCTATGCGCGGAGGAAGGGGAATTTGATTCAAACAAGGATTAAGAGTCGAGAACGGTCCAACGAATCGTCTTCTTTCTCTAATAATTTAGTGAAACGTCAAAGCTTCCGCGCTTTGCACGGGGGGGGGGGGGGGGCTTCCCCTTCCTGCACCCAACCCCCTAGGAACCGCGCTTCGCGTGCTCACTACCGCCCCCCCCTAAAATTAAATCCTGGCTACGCGCTTGGGAGGGGTGCAACTTGCCACACGCTTCTACCACTTTGGTTGCTTTGATCCATTGCCGAAAATATTTTGGCACCTATCATCCCCCCCAACCACGGATACAAATCGACACCCTTGCCTGGTGGAGAGTTACAAATGTATATCTTGCCAAAGCTAGGAGATTAGTGCCGCAGCGGAACTTGAACCACGAACCATGCAATTCACGATCTATCTACTAGACTACGATACCCCTACACTAATTAACATAATAAGTTTATAATAAATATCAGAGTAATCTTGATAACATGTATATAATAAGCATAAGCAAATTCATAACAAATTTTCAACAACAGATTTAAATGTTTAAGTTGAAAAGTGGAGGTATCTTTGTACAGGCCATTCTAGGACATTATCCTCCCACAAAGTATGTGTGTGGGGATGTATAGCCCCCACCCATTCCCCCGGGACTTACTCCCGTAGTACAATCACAAAAGGTGTCGAAATGAAAATAAACTATTACCTCTCCTTGTGGAATGGCTTTGTTAAAAAGCTCGAATGTAGTGCCAATTTCGTCTGGACTTTCTGGATCGGCGCCATTGCATGGTAGGTCTTTCACCTTGAAGACCCCCAATTGTTCATAATTTGGAAAAGTAATGTCACAACGCCCTGGAAATAGGAAAAATATGATAGTAATGATGATAATTATAATAGGAATAATGAATATAAAAGTTGGCTGGTTATATTATTACAAAGAAGATCATATAATATCATAGTGCAAATAGTAAATAACAAAGAAAAATATACCCCATAATATTTTGTTCTACTATCCTTTGTGTTGCACACAAAGCTGGAGTAAACATTTCTACCATTCCCCATGCTATGAGCCCTGGCAACACTGCCCATCCTTGATAGGAACGGATTATTGGTTTGTTTTCTCCCTCTCGTCTTTTCCTCTATTCTTCTCTTTTACCTTTAACCACTGCATATAAATAATAACAATTCCAAATCGAATTAAAGAAATATTAATTTGAGAAATAAATTATTGTTAACGTACCGCCACTAAATACGCTGACAAGAGCGACGAATGCTAGACTTGCCGAGGTAAACATGATGTATCTCGTAGTAGATCTCGATTTGTTATAAAACAAGAAATCTGATGGACGCTCTGGAATATAGTTGAACTGATGCAACTCAATGATTCACGGAGATCTTTCTCTCTTTTTATACTTTCAAGACAGATAGCAGCGTGTCAATCAACCCATTTTTAATAATGTACTAATACAGGATTAATTATTGTAATTCAAATTTGTGAGAAAGGGAGAGATAGTTGATTACGTCAGCAGCTTCCTTTTTGCTGAATTGTAAATATTGGATCTGAGTATGGAATCTGCTTTGCCCAAGGAAAATAAATATATGCCTCATTAATTTAGAAATGTAAGCTACAGATATGGGCCAAGTTTGATATAAGATATGTAGTCAACAGAAGTTCGTCAATTCGTGCAACTAGAATACGCGAAATTGATACCTGTTGGACTTATTGGCATACCCGGTATATTTTAAGTAAACTAAACTATACCGGTCAAATATTTATGGAAACAAAATAGGTAAAATTACCATCTTTGTAAACACCCGGTATTTAATTAAACTGTTAATATATAGAAGAAAAACACATCGGAGTCCGGCAAAGTCCATTTGTCTCTGGTCAAAAATTAAGGAAATGATAAGAATTAAAAATAAATATTAAAAAAACCCGGCCAGGCTAATTCAATAAAGTAAGTTGACTCAGGCTACCGAGATCACGAAATCATTACCTACATTCTAGTCAAAATTATCGATCTTCTTTATAATTTCTATGGGAATCTTGGCATACGGAGAATACCGTTATAAAATAAATGTTAATGAATTTTTTGTTGACAAATATAGATAATACTGAATGTGTACTTTCTCAAAATCGTTTTTATAAAAAAGTCCTGTTTTTCCTGTTTCTGTTTGAAGAATTTTCTTCATGTCTATTGCACTAGCACCCCGAATTTCGGATCCATGAAGCAAAATAGGTTGTATAGTTGCATTAAAAAGGTGTAATAAGGTTTTAATACTAGGCGTATAATTTCCGAAAGATTTATAAAGTTTAAATAATGCTCTCCCGGCCTTATCCGCTAAGTCCCTTGTCGCCGTTTTGAACTATCCATTATTACTAAAAACAATGCCTAAATATTTCGTTTCCTTTACCGAGCTAAGTTTTCCCCGTTTTATTTAAAATTCAATTTTATCATTTAACCTGCCTGACTTATTACAAATCATTATTTCAGTTTTGGAGACATTATTTTTTCAACATCCAAGAGTTACAATATTTAGTGAAATTATCTAAACAGTGTTGCATTCCCTGAGGGGATCTAGAAATAATTGCTAGATCGTCTGCATACATTATACAGTTCAATTCCTTATCATGTAGCGTTGCGGGTACACTGACTGAGGTATCAAAAATATCTACAACATCATTTAAAACGTATTGAATAATGTCGGGCTAATGACACACCCTTGTTTTACTCCGGTATTTCTATTGAAACACGAGGGTGGCGCCCTCGTCTAGTTATAAAGGGACACTATTTTTATGGCTACTTTAACCTTCCTCTACTGTTATTTTGATTATACACTGTAACATGCAAGAAACAAATGTAGAATCATGTAGAATCTGAGATTGTTTCTATGTGCATTGATTGATGTAACTCATGAAGTGTCTTGTATCAAATATCTTGTTTTATATTGCTTATTATGATAATTTCTTGTTATGTCAATTTCTTGTTATGTGAAATTATGAGGAAGGAAATAAAATATAATTTGAACAACAACAAAAAATTACATTTTGAATACATGTCATGTAGCACTCTCAGAAAATAGCCACTGATAAGTTGTTTTAACATGTTATACCAAAGACCATACCTCCAAACATTGTCAAAGGCTTTTCTTAATTCTATAAAACATATATATAAGTTTTTCTTATCATTCTTTGCACGGCCTCTTACATTTATATTCATTTAATAGTCCATTAAAAATAAACATACTTATTATTAATTGTTAACTTGATCTAACAAATAGCAACATGCTTTTTGCGATTATCCCGTGGGTAAATCTATTGTTGAATGCAATCACACATTTTGTTAGTAGGCATTTTTGCAAAATAATGTGCATGTCTTTTTCAAAAGGACATACACTATTCATTCACGCACGAT